TGTTTAAGAAATATTTTCATGCATATACTGTATATATAATTTATATTTTATATAAATATAAATATTATATATATATATATATATATAATTTTTTTCTTAAATATACATGCATGTGTATTTATTTATTTATTTATATATATATATATATATATATATATATATACAAAATATTTATACATAGTGCACCCACATATATTATGTAAACACAAACTTTTATTTTGGATGCGATTAATCTCGATTAATCGTTTGACAGCCCTAATATATACATAGATTATTTAGTGTGTGTGTATATATGTTAAATATAGCCTATATAGGCTATACATCAGTCTTAATGTAAATCAATATCTTTCACATCCAATCATAAGTCCTGTACACTGTAAAAAAAATATTGATGGTTTAACTTAAAGTAAGTAACCTGGTTTGGCTTAAAATTTTAAGTTGATTGAACTGGAAAAAGTGAGTTAATACAATGAAGGCGATTAATTTAACCATCAGAAACTCAAAATAATAAATTATCTCAACTAAATAAATTATTATAAAGTTGATTTGACAAAAGAAAATATGTTGTGATAACAAATCTTGAAAATATTTTTTTTACAGTGTGTGTACATGCCTGTGTATCACGATTAAAACAATGATTCTGGTTATGAGTGAAGGACGGCGGTGACGTGTCATTGCTGATGCTCATCATCATGGCATTATGAGTGTGTGTGTGTGTGTGTGTGTGCGTAGTGGATGATCCTCGGTCGTGTGTTTTGTCAGTTTGAGCGGTGTCCCGAATCTAGTGTACACAAGTTGTCCTCTGTTTACTTCTGCTGCAGTTCGTTTATCCACTAATGAAAGTGTGTGTTTAAGTTATAAAACTCAGTTCAAAGCGAGAGCAGATGCTGTAGAGCGTCGTGTTTGGATCAGGTGTGTATACACACACACACACACACGGTGGGGTGATATCGTTGGTCTATGATAACCACATGAAACGAGTGTTCCGGCTCTTCTGAGGAAAGACAAACTCGCTTTTAAAGCTGGAATTTGTGAATCGATGAACAAGTGAAGCCGCTGACAGCGGGCGAGTGAGAGCTGAGGTGTGAAACACACACTTTCCCTGTGGATGTTTAGGACTGGGAATGATCCTGAAATCAACTGTTTTATGGTCATAAGGAGCAATTACTCCAGATTCGAGACCGTTTGACAAATGCAATTATCATTAGAGACCTGGAAATACTCATAACCATTAACTACTTTCATCACAGACATTTGTCACACAAACATCGAGACTGTAAACGTGTAGCATTATCTGTAGTAGGAGGTCTGCTTTGAACTAATATGATGTATAATATGATTTAATGTGTATATGTGTGTATATATACTGTATATATGTATATATTAGGGCTGTGCAAAAATTAATTGCGATTAATCGCATCCAAAATAAAAGTCTGTGTTTACATAATATATTTGTGTGTGCTGTATATAATTATTTTGTATATATAAATACCTATGCATGCATGTATATATTTAAAAATTATTTGCACTTAAATTCTGTATATATATAAAAATACATAATCTATATTATATAAATATAAATATTTTATATATGAATAACACATTTTCTTAAATATATACATGCATGTGTGTGTATTTAAATATACAAAATAATTATATACCGCACACACAAATATATTATCTAAACACAGACTTTTATTTTGGATGCGATTAATCGCAATTAATTTTTGCACAGCACTAATATATATATATGTGTGTGTGTGTTTGTGTATGTGTATATATACTGTATGTATATATATATGTGTGTGTATGGCTAAAACAAATATTTTAAATTCACACTATTTTAATATATTTGAAAATATACAACATATGTGTGTGTGAGTGATACTTGCTGTAATAGATCAGAATCAGAAGTTATTGGAGTGTGTTTTATCCTCTGTGTGGTGAACTTCTATCATCTGAGGGACTCTATCCGAGGGTTTTGTTTTTCGGTGGTTTTGGACGTGCTCTTCACCCTACCACACACACACACACACACATACACTCACTCAATCACACACAGACTTTACCCACATACACACTCGCATGCTCACTCACTCTCTCACATACACTCACTCAATTACACACACACACTCACACTCAGTGTATAGTGATAAAAACAGGCGGAGTGAATCCACCTTGATGGATGATGCTGAGGAAACCGACCAATTAGAGGACAGCTTTACTCACATGTGACTTGCATAAACACATTTTTTGGTACGCTCTGAAATGTTGTGAAAGTTAACCGAAACCAAGAGGAAATGCAACACTGTAAAACATTAAGCCCCCGTTTCGAAACAAAGCGACTGAAATAACATGTCTAAAGCAGATGAACTTCATGTGAGCATTTTTTTTATTTTATTTTTTTTTACACTTGCCAAGATGTTGCAATGGCACTCGGAGTGTTTTCTAGGTCTTTTGGTAAAAGAGTTTCCTTCAATGTACATCTAAATAACTATGATAAATTAAATAATTTTAGAAAACATTAGTTTAATTGGAGTTTGAGGTTCACTTGAGGAAACAAAGTCTACTCTGTTTTTCTGAATTAATGAGTTAATTATCTCAGAATTACGAGATCATTTTTCATGGAAAAAAGTTGTTGCTCTTTTTTCCTGAATTAACGAGTTTTTTAATTCAGAAAAACAGAGCAAAATATTTTGCCATGAAAAATGATCTTGTAATTCTGAGATAATTAATTCAGAAAAACAGAGTAGATGCAATAGTAGATTCAACAGAAGTGAATGCAATACTCTTCCATACAAATCACTACACTGAGAAAAAAACATTTTCTTACTCAGTATTTCTTTTTGTCTTCCAGTGCATTCTTAAATCAAAGTTACTTTAGTAAAATTATTGTTTTCCAAGAAAAAATATCAAAATCACCTTTTTTTTACCTTGACCCCACTGGCATTTTTTCACATTTTAACATTGTTTTACTGTATTTTTAATTTATATGTCTTCCCACGTAAAAACATTGTTTTTACAGTGTAAACTTAATAGTAGTTCTTGACTTTATTTATAAACTAATTAAACAAATGTTTTTTTTTTAGTGCTGTGCAAAAATTAATTGCGATTAATCGCATCCAAAATAAAAGTCTGTGTTTACATAATATATTTGTGTGTGCTGTATATAATTATGTTGTATATATAAATACACACACATGCATGTATATGTTTAAGAAAATGTGTTATTCATATATAAAATATTTATATTTATATAATATAGATTATGTATTTATATATATATATACAGAATTTAAGCGCAAATAATTCTTAAATATATACATGCATGCATAGGTATTTATATATACAAAATAATTATCTACAGCACACACAAATATATTATGTAAACACAGACTTTTATTTTGGATGCGATTAATCGCAATTAACTTTTGCACAGCCCTATTTTTTTTAAATCACTTGTTTAATTATTTTGTATTTTTTTCTCTCTCTCTTTCTATTATTTGTGTAAAGTGCTAATGCTATTATATAAAATAAAGTCGATTATTTTTAATTATCTCAATCATTTGGCCGACTCTCTGCTTGGATTGTGTGAAACACAACAAACTTGACCTACTGTAACCTTTGACCTTTGACCTCTGAGCAGTGGCGCAGGAAATAGACCGTTGTGAGTTATTGCTCATTGTTTGAGGAGATTCCCTCCTAATCTCAGTAGAAGCGCATCTATCTTGCTTTGACGTGTGGAAGGAAGAAGAAGTGTTTTTGTAGTGTGTAAACTCTCTAAAGTGGGAAAGGCTGTGTAATTATGTGTGTGTTATTCACCCAGTTAGATATTAGCTTATTACGCTAAGATTATTACAGTTTTTTACAATTGCTAACACACAATTTTGCAAACTAGTCTGGTTTTATCAAAATGCATAACAAAATTCACAAAAGCACAAAATAGCTCATATATCCTGCAACCGAAACTACACACAGCATTATCAAAATCAAACTTTTGCATGAACTGGCACACACAGATTTGTGCCTAAACAACGACACACTGTTTTATAATGAAAAGCACTCCTATCTTTAGTATGCTTTGCCATAATACTAAAATATGCATCAGATTGTTCACATGCACAGAAATATTTGCAGACACACACATGCTGTTGAAACTTGTATTTTTTCACTACAGTAAAACAAGTCAGTGCAACAGCAGAAACATTTACATGGGACTGAAAAAAAAATCTAAAATATAAAAATAAAATATATTACAGTAAAAAAAAGTGGCAAGAAAAATATTTTTTTATAGTTTTTCTAGTGCTTACATCCTGATTGAAGTGTTATCAATTAACCATTGAGGTGTTTGGCCAGATGGCACATGTAATTGGCCAATTAGTGTCATTTTGAATGGTAGTGTTTAGAAATGGCAAACATGTGACTTTATGTCAGATTGTTGTGTCTTGTGCAGAGAACTGTGCTCAGTGCATTTATGCAAAATGTGTGTAAAGCAGAAAATGTGTTTCGACTTTTGGAAATTGAGAAGAAGTTTTGCTCTCTGTGTGTCCGTTTAAAGAATTGTGCTGTGCATGTCATTTTAGTGTGTTAGCAATTGGAAAAAAATGTAAATTATTAGATTATTAAATGCTGTAAGACTATCGTTTATACTTTATTCATGTTGACTAATATAGGTAACTAACGAAACCATATTGTAATCATCTGTTGCTGGAGAAAATCTTCAATTAAGTGTGTGTGTGTGTGTGTGTGTTGGAGCATTTGATATGACATTGGCGATCTCTGTTAACCCTAGTAGAGGTGTGTCAGGTAAGAAGGGGTTGAGAGTGAAGTGTTTGGGTCTGTAGCGGTGATGAAGTGCACAATGACAGGACTCAGTGTCTCCAAACGTGTGGTGAGACTGCCTCCTGCTGGCTATAACACTAACTCTCTCTCTCTCTCTCTCTCTCTCTCTCTCTCTCTCTCTCTCTCTCTCTCTCTCTCTCTCTCTCTCTCTCTCTCAGGCTCGCCTGGCCATTCAGAGAGGAGCTCAGGCCGTCATCTTTGACATCACTGATGATCCATCTGCTGCTGTGGAGGTGTGTGTGTGTGTGTGTGTGTGAGAGAGAGAGAGAGTGTGTGTGTGTGTGTGTGTAAGTGTGTGTGTTTGTGCCTCTTACATAAAATGCATATAAATATCAGTCTTCACTCTATATCTCCCAATAATATCTCAGTAACATGATTTAAAATGCTTTTATGATCAAAAATCTCTGTAGTTTTAAATCATATAATGCAATACAATGATGATCGAGAGATGAACAAATAAAAGCCTGATCATATTGGAATCAGCAAACATTTCACAGCAAAAAAATAAATAAAAAATCATAATGGGATCTCATTAAACTGTTTATTTTTCATCGTTTAAAATTTTTATTATATTTTTAGTTTTTTTTTATATAGTTGCTGATAAAAGCAACTTAAAAGTTTTAACAATCACTCTTGTAACTATAGATATAGGTACACTGATATAAAATATTGATGGTTTAACTTAAAAAAGTCAGTAACCTGGTTGCCTTAAAATTTTAAGTTGATTGAACTGGAAAAAGTGAGTTAATACAATGAAGGAGATTAATTTAACCATCAGAAACTCAAAATTATATGTTATCTGAACTAAATAAATTACTTAAGTTGATTTGACAAAAGAAAAAATGTTGTGATTACTACACTGTAAAAAAATATTGTTGGTTTAACTTAAAAAAGTAAGTAACCTGGGTTGCCTTAAAATTTTAAGTTGATTGAACTGGAAAAAGTGAGTTAATACAATGAAGGAGATTAGAAACTCAAAATAATAAGTTATCTCAACTAAATAAGTTGATTTGACAAAAGAAAATATGTTGTGATAAGAAATCCTGAAAATATGTTTTTTACAGTGTATAGGTAAAATAGGTATTTTCTCAGATTGGTAAAAACATACAGTATGTCCTAATCTCCAGGATACACTCCAGTTATTTGTCAGTGAAGTGTGTGTGTGTGTTTCTCACACACAGCTGCGTGACTCCGGGTCGTTGCCTCGTCCAGTGCTGCTGGTGAAGTCATCAGACGCAGAAGAGCTGATGGGACTCGTCAATAAGAACGAAGAAGCCATGGTGTATATCGACATCATGATGGACCCTCCTAAATGGGTGAGGAAACACACACACGTTTATTAATGTGTTTTCAGTAGGCTTTACTGTCCCTGATGAAAATAAACCAGCTGTTGACCAGTATACGCTAGAAAATGGATTATTAGATGCTTGCAGATTCTTCAGTGAGTTTTTGAGCGAACGTCATTTCAAAGTAAATCCTACAACCATTTTGATGCGTCAAAATCCGATTTCAGAGTTTAATCAGATTTTAGAGTTTAAAGGGATACTTCACCTTTTTTTTTTGGAAATAGGCTCATTTTACCACTCCCTCAGAGTTAAACAGTCGAGTTTTACCGTTTTCAAATCCATTCAGCTGATTTTCTGATATTTAGAAGAATATCAGTAACCAGATGGTTTTCTGGTCTCATTGACTTCTATAGTAGGAAAAAAATATACTATGGAAGTCAATGAGACCAGAAACTGTCTGGTTACTGATATTCTTCTAAATATATATATAAAAAATGGCTGAATACATTCGAAAATGGTAAAACCCAACTGTTTAACTCTGGGAGAGTTGTAAAATGAGCCTATTTCCAAAAAAAAAAAAAAGTGGAGTATCCCTTTAAGAGCTGGGATAAAAGTCTAAAGTTTAGAGCTAGGCTAACGAGGCTAACACATTAGTTGCTGGTTTGAGGACGAACTCAAGCTTCAGTCTCCGTGTGTTGTGTTCGCAGCCTCACTATGACGTCGGGATCCTGTTGACCGTGGCTCTGGCTGTGCTGGCCATCATCATGATCTTTGCTCTACGCTTCCGCTGCAGGTCCAACAGAACCTGGGTAAGAAAACACACTTCACACACCCAACGCTCTCGCTCGCTTTCAGGTTTGATGGTGGATTGTAAAATGTCCATTGCGAAAGAATTATGTTTTTGTTTTGGCTTCCAGTGCATATATCGAAACATTCTTAACCCCTTAACGCCCACTGACACAAATATGCTACAAACCGTTTGACTCAGTCAACCAGCCAAGATAACGTCTGCATTCCCCCAATGCCGGTTCGTGCATATTCGCTACAGACCTTCGACGAGCACTTGTTTCAAAGGACGTATTTCCTGTTTATGTTTACGCACGAGGATTACTCCGGTCAGGAACATTTGCAACATACCAAATTGACCATTATGCCCGCTGTTGCAGATTTGCAACATACCAACACTTCGGTTTATTTGTTGTGCAAAAGTGAAATTGATAATCTCAACATTATTTAGCATCTACTTAAAGGCAAAAACACACATAAAACATTTTTTTATATACAGCTATATAAATTCAGGCGTTAAGGGGTTAATTCAGGATGAAGCAAAATGACATGAAAAATGTATCAAAATTATATGTCAGAGGGGTCTGAAATATTTCTCTTTTTTTAGCATAAACTCATTTAATTGTGATACATTCTTAATATCATTGTGCTTCTCAAGATTTAAAAAATGTTAAATTTTTGATTGGCCATTAAATATATATTTTTACTGGAAAACAAAAATACTAAGGAAATATGTAATATTTAATAAGTGAGGTCCTCCTGCATTTAAAATGCCCCGGTTATGCTCTTTTAAAGGCTCCTAATTTAGTTTTAAGGTCTTCTACTGGAGGTTTGCATGCATCTAAAGTCAAAAAGAAAAAACGCTTTAATTTTCTCCTAATCTCCACTGCAGCATCAGCTCTTTTATCCCAGTGTCTGAAACAGTTCGATAAAGGATTCAGTCTCTCTAAACTCCGCCTTTCCGAGAGCTGCTCTTCTCTGATTGGTCAGATTACCCAGTCTGTAGTGATTGGTCAGAAACCAAATACTCATTAGCATATCGGAATTCTCCGGATCTTCCTCAGCACTTGAGACAGTGATAAAACATTGGTTTTACTGTAAAGGAGCCATAAGCCAGAAGCCAATAAAGACCATATTCTGGCATTATGCAAATTTGTTACAAAGGTTCACCCAGAAAGTAAAACTGGAATGACCAACGACTCGTTTCAGGCCGTTCAGAATCACTCTAGAACTGTATTGTATTTGTATTGTATTTATTTATTTCTTCGGTCAGTCATTTAGAAATCATGTCATAAATCATGTAACACAAAAGAGAGAAAGAAAAAAAAATAAAATAAAAATAAAAAATAACACATAAATACTGACCGAAGGGGTTTAGGCTGAAGTCAAGACTTATTTTGCCTAACCCCTTTTACAACAACAACAACTTATCCTGACTATTACAATAACATGTAGACACTAAAAAATTAATCCTCAACAATCAAAATTATGTCATACTTCCACCATCGCTTACTTTTCTTATATTCTTCATTCAAGTGTTCTATATTTTTCCATAATGTTCAACTTATATCTTTTCTTGAATCCCTTAATAGTTTTAGAGCTCTTAAGTTGAATAAGAAGACTGTTCCATAAATCTACTCCTTTAACTGATAAACATCTTCTCTTGGTATTACTCTTAGCCATAGGTTTTTGTAACAATTCAGTTCCTCTGAGGCTATATCTCGATTCTCTGATTCGAAACATCTCTTGTAAACAGTGAGGAAGCTTGAAATTGTAAGTAAAAGATCTGTAACTCAGATCTTTTACATTCACAAACTGCTATATCACACACATATCTGAAAACGCATAATAGGTGCGCCGTAGAAATCTCAAAAGCCCTTTTCCTCGACTCCCAGGACTCTGTGCACCAGGAGACCATGCGTGCCATCAGCCGGTTGGAGACGCGCACGTACAGCTCTCAGGGTTGCTCCGGATCCCAGCGTTCAGGCGCCGCTCCAGCGTCCAACAGCAGCTCCAGTTCCAGCCCCATCTGTGCCATCTGTCTTGAGGAATTCATGGATGGCCAGGTAAGAGAAAGAGGCACCAAACTATGACTTTGAATCAAGTCACCTTTACATATATATATTTGAGTTTGAGTTTCTTTATTTAAAGGGACAATGCACATTAATTAACATGAGAACAAGGTCCAACATGTAAATGTGTAAAAGATTTAGCCATACTGGCTAATTTTCGTCTGCAGGTTAAAATTTAAAACAATAACTATACAATACAATACAATACTGAAATATTACAATACAAATAAAAATACAAACACATTATTCTGTATGGCAACATATTTGATTAGTTAATAACCAATGTTTTATGGATTTGGACAATGCACTTTGATTGACGTGATATTCCTTAGTTCTGTGGGTATGGTATTCCATGTATGAGCTGCTCGAAAAGAGAAAGCCGACCGTCCAAAACTACTTTTTTTACATGGTATTTTACAATCCCCTCTTGTAGATGCTCTGGTAGATGAGTTACATTTTTGTTGGACGAATTTATTGAGTGGAGGGGGAGCCATAGCATGAAAAATTTTATATACAAGTAAAATATCTGCAAACTTAATCATGTTTTCCCAATTTAACAGGTCATATTTATTTAAAAGTTTACAATGGTGATATGAATTTGACTTTTTATCTAACGTTTTTTAAGGCCCGTTTGTAAAGTATTTCAACCGATCGTAATGTGGTCCGACTTGTCTGTGTCCAGCTGGTAAGAGGGATATATATATATATATATATATATATACACACACACACACACACACACACGTTCATCTAAAGGATTATTAGGAACACCTGTTGAATTTCTCATTAATGCAATTATCTAATCAACCAATCACGTGGCAGTTGCTTCAGTGCATTTAGGGGTGTGGTCCAGATCCAAACTGAAGGTCAGAATGGGAAAGAAAGGGGATTTAAGCAATGGTTGTTGGTGTCTGAGTATTTCACAATCTGCTCACTTACTGGGATTTTCACACACAACCATTTCTAGGGTTTACAAAGAATGGAGTGAAAATGGTCCTGTGGGCCAAAATGCCTTGTTGATGCTAGAGGTCAGAGGAGAATTAAATTAATTTATTAAATAAATGAATTATTACTGAATATTAAGGGACAGTGGCAAGGAACCTAAACTCCATCAGGTCGCAGACATTGAGAAAAAATCTTTGGAGAAACTAGGCTCAGTCGGGATCCCTAACTCATAACTCATATATATATATATATGTGTGTGTGTGTGTATGTGTGTATATATGTGTGTATATATATATATATATCATTATTATTGGTAACACTTTACAATAAGGTTCATTAGTTAACATTAGTTAATGTATTAACTAACATGAACTAACCATGAGCAATACATTTGTTACTGTATTTGTTCATCTTTTTTAACGTTAGTTAATAAAAATACAGCTGTTCATTGTTTGTTCATGTTAGTTCACGGTGCATCAACTAATGTTAACAAGATTTAAATAAAATATTAGTAAATGTAGAAATTAACATTAACAAAGATCAATAAATGCTGTATATGTGCAGTTCATATTAACTAATGTAGTTAACTAATGTTAACTAACGGACCTTATTGTAAAGTGTTACCTTTTTTTGTCCTGTTTGTTTGTTTGTTTATTTTTAATTAATTGTTGCTACTGGAAACTTGAATTTCCTTAACGGATGAATAAAGTATTTATCTATCTATCTATCTGTCTCTATCTATCTAGCTAGCTATCAAAATAATGAATGCGATGTGATTTAGGATTCGGGACTGCATCGCAAGTCAGATTTGTGGATTGATATTATTCAAATATTTTGCATCCAGCTCTAGAGGAACAACAGAAACCATCAAGCATTGGAAGGAAAAGGACCACTTTAGGATGCCATTAATGAAATGATTTGAGGCTCGCCAATGGCATGTTTAATATTTGGTTTTCTCTATCTCTCTGGTAGGACTTGAGAATCATCTCCTGTGCTCATGAGTTTCATAAAGAGTGTGTCGACCCCTGGCTCCTACAACACCGAACCTGCCCACTGTGCATGCACAACATCATGGGTAAACAGCCTCAGGGTACATATGTATTTCTCCAATAATATTAGTATAGAGCTTGCAAGGCAGCACTGTGTTGAAATTCCTCTTCTTTCTTTATCTTACACTATAGATCTTATTCAGAGCAGCGCCATGACAGGTATGAAAGTGAGGCTGTGAGGGATAGACTTGCCGTGTTTCCAATGGCATCCGCTGTAAAAAGCTGAATAAAGCTCCTAGATTACATTGTTGGGAGTTTTTTGTCAACTAAAATGTCTTGGAAAGATATTTTTCCAGTGTTTCATGAGCAGAACAATCCGAAAACACATTAAATAACAGTACAGCCCATTGAAGAGATGCAAGTCTATCCCTCACAGCCTCGCTTTCATTCTCATTAAAAATCAAAGATGGCGCTGCCGTGAATAAGGCGTATACCTCGAGTTCAGCTCCAACCCTACTTAAACACATCTGGACCAGATAATCAATGTCATACTGAGCATGCTAGAAACTTCCAGGGTGGTGTATTGAGGCAAGTTGGAGCTAAACTCTTCAAGACCGAGTTTGCGCACCCCTGGATGTGTTCGCCCACATCAGTTAGAGATCATCCTCATGTCCAAATGGGACTTTCTTCTGTGAGCACAAAAGAAGAAAAGAATTTTGTTTGTCATACAGTGAATAATGAGTGTACTCAAAATGTTCTTCAAAACCTACTCATAACTTACCCCTTAAATCAAAAGGAAAAATTGATGAATAATAATGGTGCAGACGCCCCTAACCCTTGTGGTAAGCCTAAACCTGACAAACTGTAAACTTGTCCCTCAAATATGAATAGTTGCATTGAAAAACAGTAGGAAAGCAGCAATGCACTGGACAAGCATTCGTGTGTGCAAATTTTTACTGTTTGAAAACTTTATACTATTTAAGAAATATCAGATTAAAGTTTCAAAATTAAAGATCAATGGTGGATTGATGCAGGATTCTATTGACAAAGGACCAAATCCTTACACCGTGTCATAACTACACGCAACGTGCGATAAAAGTGAACTTTTCCTTGTTAATCACAAAGTGTGGCAATGATAATCTCAGGATCTGTTTATGTGCTTTCTTTAATGTTAAAAGCGTGTAGTGACTTTGAATATCATTTAGTGCTCCAGCTTTGTAGCTGTAAAAGCAACAATGGATAATTCACCTCAGATCTCAAAAATTAAACAAAATGGAAACAAGAACGTTAGCCTATGTATTTGTATTTTTAATAATGTTTAAATGGTGTAATATTGGTGAATTTGATTATTTTGATTATTTTGAATTTGCCGTGAGACTCCGCCCACATGATGTTCTGATTGGCTGTGGGATTTGATTGTATTTGATGCATCTCGCAGTCGCGTGGACAGACAAATTATTTGTCGCAATCTTGGCTGGTTAGGACACGGTGTAAATATACCTAAACCTTAACATGGACTATTTTGCTGCCTTGCAATCGCTGCAATTTGCTTTAAAAAATGCAACTGTAGAGTTAATTAATCATACTCAGGCTATGTCCACATTAATCCAGAGATTTTAGAAATGTCCTAAACTCTCTCTCTTCACGCTAGTGGTATGAGGTGTTTTCCAATGGTTGCTCTTCCTCAGACCCCTTGAAAGTCCCCTTGTAGTCAATCATTTTATCCCTTAAAACTCACCAAAGTTATATAGTTAAACGTTTTTTTCCTTGGAAAAAAAAAATGCCTTAAAATAACTTGAATGTAACTTGACACCCTTGCCTCATTTAGTATTCGTGGTTCTATGAATATGCAAATCAGCCCTGCCTCCACTCACTCACTCACTCACTCAGAGATCCACTGGTTGATGATCACATGTTGATCTGATTGGTTACAAGGTCGTTTGTGACGTCAGAAACACCAGCGATTTCAAAGCGTGTTTTTGAGGCTGTCTTTGGTTCAATACTGGAAAATACTCAGCAATGCTGTCCACTTACTGTATGAACTTACACATGGTTTGTCTTAAAGTATATTAAAAACACGCACCACATAGACATAAACAACATTAAAAGCTTGATTTTCACCACTGGGGGACTACACTAAAATACATCAGTTTACAAAGTCTATAACTAAATTTTTAAATGTATCGATTTCTCGATATTAATCGATTATCATTTTTACGAACCGATATCGATTCTTAAATCTCAAGAATTGATTAGTCGTCCTGTTTCATTTGAATGAATGGGACATTGTATCGCGGCTGCGCGCATCCAAAAAATCGCAATAATCTTTGTCCTTTGTTACTATTGATATGAAACAAAGTCTCAATTTTCAAATTACGTCCATTTTCTTTGGAAATTCAAAAACATAAATAGTGTTTTGGCGCTGTGGCGTGAGATCGCTCTGGAGAAGCAGCAGCGCTGATCTCTCTTCCGGCTTAATAATACCAGTCACAGCGCCAAATAAACATGAATGAGCATCTGAAAGTGTGTTAAAGATAGAGTACAACTTATCCAAATCCGGATCACGTCACATTGATTCGCTTAATCAGCGTTTGCTAACTATGCTAACTAATGTATCGTCATATTTACCTCAGAAAACCCACATCAACTCGTTAGTCAGCTACAAAAAATAACTCCAGAGAGGAGCATTTTGCTAAATATATACACCATATTACATATGCATTATAATCTTAATGTTCTTTAATATTTAATGCATATTTGAATAAATCTGGCAAGTTTTCATAACAGCCACCATTTAAATGTTTATATTTCATATAATCTTCTTATTATAAAAATAAAGAAGTGTAATTTAAGTGTTTGTATAGCTACAAAACAGTTCATTATTACCTTCATATTAGGCTAATGAAGCCCAACTAGACTCCCATAGTTTACAGTATTAGTAAAGAGATTTGATTCCCTTGAGAAAAATGGCCATTTATTGTAACTGATATCCAAAATAATCAATATTGAATCGAATCGAAATCGAATCGAATTGCAAGCTTGTGAATCGAAATCGAATCGAATTGTGAAATAGGTCTCAATACCCAGCCCTACTAGACAGTATGGACAAAAGGCCAAAACGTAGAGGAAAAGGGAACGTGGATTAATATGGACGTAGCCTCAGTAACATTTTTTATGCTTTCCCTATCAAAGTTGTTTTTTCAGCACCAAATGTCTTCCATCAGGTTCAGATCTGGCATCCCGTCAGCCCCAAAGAAGTCGACTGCCGCCCCCTCCTCAAGAGCACAGTCAAGCCTTCCTCCTTCCCCATCACTACTCAAACCAACGCCCTTACCCCCAACATCACGTGCCCTTTTCCCTGCGGCATCACTACCCCCGCACCCCTGGACATTTACCCCAATTGGGTCACTATGGAAACTCCCCCCCTCCTCATCCACGCACTCTCCGTTGCTTTCCCAACAGACCATTGGGCGCTAGCTGCGCGTACCACCTTGCCCCGGATTCCCATCATGGACGTACGCACAGGACAGGCGGGCGCGGGTGTCGGACTGGGGGGCATCACTATGCGCCCCCCAGACGGTCGTGTCAACGGTGCGCCGGAGGAGCGTTACGAAACGCCGCAGGTTCTTGTGTGCACCATTTGGCATCGTCAGTAAACCACGCGACTCATCACCTGCCGCGTGGCGGAGGCTCGCACGGTCGCCAAGATGACGGAAGCTGCTCCGGAGGGAGTTACCACACGGAGTGCAGCGGTTACCTTGCCGAGGGGCCGGCCACCGACTCCAGCTCGGGATCGTGCCACGGCTCGTCCAGCGATTCCGTATTAAACTGTACGGATATCAGCCTGCAGGGCGTCTATGGCAGCTGGTCCACTTTTCGTAGCTCGCTCAGCAGCGACTATGACCCGTTCGTCTATTACGGGCCGGGAAAAGGGCCACGCAGAGGGAGCATGGAGGCCACGCAGAGGCCTCGTTCCCTGGACTCTGTAGTGAATCCCGCCGGTGACGCCAATGCGGTTTGCTCAGAAGAGAAGCAGCAGCAGCAAGTGGCCGTGTTCAGTCACGTTCACTATCACAGGCATAGACACCACTATTACGAGGACGGGGACCTCGGCCAAGGGTCTGACGAGGATCAGGGGGCCGTGGCAGCTGGTGGCCCCTGTAATGCAACTAAAAACAAAGACTCCACTGGGTGTCAGGTACAGCACCAGACTTGCCACTGCCCCAAAACGGACCTCAGTTCAAGGAGGGTTGAGGATAGAGCCCCGGACCCTGTTTCCTCCTCAGGCGCCTCTGTGATCCTTCCCTCCCCCCCTTTAGCCTCTCCGTCCCTGTCCTGTTGCCACAAAGGCCCAGGGTGGACCACCAGACAGAAAGCAGCCGGCTGTCCCTTGGAAGCGCCTTCGCCGGTTGTTCACTTCCACCAAAGTTTGGACCTTCAGGATGATTGTAGCATTCATATCCACTACGGACAGGGAGCTGGAAGCTACTGCTGCACACCTCCAGCGGATATGGCCCCTACACTGCTGCCGGTGCCCCTGATCTTGGACTCGACTGGTATGTCCGAATGGCCGTGCTGTAGCGGGGCACATGTGGTGTGGCAGAAGCAGGTCCAACAGGCCCATTCGGAGCCTCAGCTTTTGGGCCCCACTTCTGAAACGGACAGACCCTTGTGTAGGGCCCATCACGGCCCGGGGGACGAACTTCCTACGGATATCTGTCTGTACTGCCAAACTCTACACAATAGTCAGGGTGAGTATGTGTGACTGTAGTACTCCACTTTATAGTCAACTCATTTCTATTGCACTTCATACAGATTTCCAAAGCAGCTTCACAGTTACAAACAGGAAAATAACAGAATCAGTGACGCATCTGAAATGTGATCTGTGCTGCTCTTAAAGTGTAATTGCTCTGAATGCATTATTAGGAGATGGGGTCGCCTTGGGAATATGGGAGAGAGGGAAAAGAGAGAATGTGTTCAAAATGTTGTTTATGTCTACCTTTGTTTCTGTACCAAATATTCTCTGATTCAATAAAAAATTGATCACAAAAAAAAAGAATCAGTGACGCAAATTCTGATCAGTCAGTTTAGTATTAATTCAGTTCAGTTCAATAACTGTCTAGAGTTCATCAATTATTATACAAGTTCACTTCAGCTATAAGCAGCTTCACAGAAGACAATAGAGTCGTTATTCAGCTCGAATAAGTTTAAAGGGATAGTTCACTTTGAAATTAATTTTTGATATGTTTTATCTTACCTCAAGGGCATCCAAGATGTAGGTGTCTTTGTTTCCACAGTATTTTCAATTTTGACATTTTTCAGTCAAACCGTTGTTGTCCATCACTGGAGGCAAAGGGGGTCCACCAAAGAGCATGCACAGAGAAGTCAAAATGAAACATGATTTAATGACTCGTAAATGTAAGTACACATTGATGGCCTAAGACACGAAACGAGCGGTTTGTGTGAGAAAACGAACAGTATTTATATCGTTTTTACCTCGTGTAATCACAGTGACGTCCAAGTGATCTGAATCAGTTGTTCAATGTCCAACTGAACCGAACTGAATCAGTTCAATGTTACGCCGGAAGTGATCGCTTGCGTGTGACGTCACTCAATATTTACACTGAGATTTCGAAAGTTTTACCTTTTACTTAACATATTTAGATATACCGAAATCGTCTTCCATTGCGGTTTCCCGTATATCTAAATATGTTTAGTGAAAGGTAAAACTTCCGAAATCTCTGTATAAACAAAGAGTGACGTCGGCGCGCAAGCGATCACTTCCAGACCGAAGCGCCCGTGCCGTCAGATCATTTTGTCATGGCTATGATTACAAGAGGTAAAACGATATAAATACTGTTCGTTTTCTCACACAAACCGCTCGTTTCATGTCTTAGGCCATCAATGTGTACTTACATTTACGAGTCATTAAATCATGTTTCATTTTGACTTCTCTGTGCATGCTCTTTGGTGGACCCCCTTTGCCTCCAGTGATGGACAACAACAGTTTGACTGAAAAATGTCAAAATTGAAAATACTGTGGAAACAAAGACACCTACATCTTGGATGCCCTGTAAGATAAAACATACCAAAAATTAATTTCAAAGTGAACTATCCCTTTAATGTTGAATCAATTTAGTTGCTGTTGCAAAATTTGTCTATTATGAAGTGTATTCAGCTGTAAGCAGCTGTAAAGAAGACAATTGAGTCGTTTATTAGCTCATTAGTTTAGTATTGATTCAGTTTAGTTGGTAATAACTGTGTAAAGTTTATCTATTATGAAATAATGAAACAAGCTAAATAACAACTATTGTCTTCCCTAGAGTTGCTTATATCTTGTTTCATAGTTTCATAATAGATCAACTTTACAATTATTGAACTAAACTGAATCAATACTAAAGTGACTTGAGCTCAATAACGACTCTATTGTCATCTGTAGAGCTGCTTATAGCTTAAAGGAGAACTCCGGTGAACAATGAACCTTTGGTCCAATAAAACATCGGTACATAGTCAACCGTTCTCTGAGATTTGTTTTCATGATAATCGAATGTAAAGAGTTTTATCTCTAAAAACTGTTTAGCGTATAATGCTAGTAATGGGGGCATTGAGTAAGTAAAAAGTAATCGCTAGTTTATACCCCTAACAAGGCTCAAAATAGCCCCACACTAACGCAGTAACATAATGAGGGTCCATACATACAAAACGAAGCATTGAGAACTTTGTAAGTGTACAGACTGTTCAATAAGAAGATACTTCAGTATCTTCTTAATAAGAAGACAGTTCACTTCACGTATAAAAAATAGTCTCGATAAGTCAAACCACGATCGTCGTGCTGAGTGATCTGAACTGTATGAAGTTCAGCGAACTTCTGACGGCGTTCGGGGATTGACTTATCAAGACTATTTTTTAAGATGGCTCCTGTCTGTATACGCGAAGTGAACTGTCTTCATAAAGTATCTAAAGTATCTTCACAAAGTTCTCAATGCTTCGTATTTGCATGTATGGACCCTCATTATGTTTCTGCGTTAGTGTGGGGCTATTTTGAGCCTTTGTTAGGGGTATAAACTAGCGGTTTCTTTTTACTTAGTCAATGCCCCCATTACTAGCGTTATACGCTAAACAGTTTTTAGAGATAAAACTCTTTACATTCGATTATCATGAAAACAAATCTCAGAGAACGATTGACTAGGTACCGATTTTTTATTAGACCAAATGTTCATTGTTCGCCGGAGTTCTCCTTTAAGTCAGTTTAATATGGATTCAGTTCAGTTCAATAACAGTGTCAATCTGATTCAGCTATAAGATACTATATATAGTGTCAGTCAAATCCATATTACCTCAGTGAATATCAAGCGTCTTGGCTTTGTATTGAATATTTGAATATTTTTGTCTGTCTGTTCATTTGTGAAGATTGTCTTACTGAACAAAACATGTAAGAATGTTTTCAGAGCTAATTTTTTGCAATAATTGAAAGCCAGTGGAAAATTCGAATTGCCTTTTTGTTAAGGGACCTAGGATGACGCCTAAATTGTCCTGCATAAATACATAATTTCTGGTTATAATCTGAATGTGCACAGCTGATTTTCAGTTTTCATTTTGGATACACTATTCCTTTAATTGCAGGTTATGAAATGAGTTCTTCTTCTTGTTCCTCAGGGTCAGAAGAAGAGTCTGGTGTTTGAGAAAGCTCTTCGTCCTGAACTCCTCACGCTGCTACACAAGAGCCGAAATGGACAAAACTCTTCGGCGTTCTCTCTGTGTCTCTTTCACATGTCAAGTCTTCCATATAATTCCAAACATCATCTGCAATATCAAACTGCATCACCCAGAATCTCCAGACCTCAGAACCTCTTTCTAGCAAAGAAGTAAATACAGAATTCATCAGCGATGATTAGATGGGTTTTTCACATTTCTAATGGCCAAAACAAGTCATTGTACAGCCCTATACGGCCCAAATGTGACTTTTAATAGGCCAGCAAACGGTGTTAATTCAGGAAGTTAGCAAAGGATCTGTGAGGATGAGTGTGTGGTCAATCTTAATTTCTCCCTTTCCTTTGATTTAAAACAGGATTCATTTAGTACTTTCTCTAGTCTGAGAATTCCTTTGTTCAAACCCTTAAAAGTATAAACACGTCTTCCCATTGAGAATTAGGCCTGACGTATGTACTCTATGCAAGAACGCAGACACTTCAAGCTACGCAAATTTGGATGCTGTGCTCTAAAAAGCAAAAATTAGTGTAATCCGTCTTGTTCTACAGTCAGTTTTCTCTTTCAGGTTAACTACTATCATGCCGGAATCAAGTTAAACTTCACGACTTTTGCTCAGATTTTTGCCACGATTGCAGGCTAAATGATTTTTTTAGCTTTCGGACTGTGATTCCATCCAGGATATCAAAACATGTTTGATACTTCGAGTCGATTTTAGAAGACGTGTTGCTACTGAAACTGAAGCTGTCCTCTATATACCAGTGTATATACCAATAAAACACAATACCAATACAACAGAACACGCATAACAAATTAGCATTAAAGCTGCAGTCGTAGCTTTTTTGGGGTTAAAAATTATCTAAAATAGATATTTGTATTAGAAAATACATAACCAGCCAGTGTTCAACACTCTCTGCTTGCCGTAGCTCTATTCAAAGCGTTAAGCTTGTAATAATGTATTTAATTACAGTGGCACTGGTGGATTTCGGATTTCGGAAATCGGATCACTTGGACGTGGCTGTGCTTACAAGAGGTAAAACGATATAAATACTGTTCGTTTTCTCACACAAACCGCTCATTTCGTGTCTTAGGCCATCAATGTGTAGTTACATGTTTAATTTGGACTTCTCTGTGCATGCTCTTTGAGGTGGTCACCAGTGTTGGGGAAGCTACTCTTAAACTGTAGTTTGACCAGCTACTTGTAAGTTAAAGTAGTTAAACTACAGTCAAGCTAATCTTTTGGAAAGTAGTTAGCTACACTACAAGTTACTATCAAAAAGTAGCTAGCTACATTGAAACTACTTTTGCTTTTTGAACAACGTATTTTATAAATAACTGGGGAATGTTTTAAGTAAAATATTTAGTGTTTAAAACAATGCAATACAATTATGATTTTAAAGAGTATTGTTTTATTTACACACAAATATCTCAGACTGTTTGTCTAAAGTGCAAAATTGCGACAAATAGCCTACAACATTGCAAGAACAAAATATACATCCAACGTAAATCGCATGTAGAACATTTTCTCAAAAATACCGATTGAACTTGGACAAATAAGGCCAAATTAACGTTAGTTGTTTCTCCATCCTCCAAATCTGCCGTCGCGTCTTGCTATATAATCATAAAATGGGTTTGTCAACACACTTCTGTACGTCAGTGAACCGTTAGCCGCAAGATGCGTGATTAAACAACAGGTGACGGTAACGGCAAAAAAAAAACGAGTTTGTAATCTAACAAGAAGAAGAATATCCTTGCATCGCGCTGATTCGCGCAGGCTCGACAAACGCGATGTAGCTTTTGCTCGCGCTACAAAAAGTAGTTAGCTACACTGTTTAAAAAGCAACTGAGCTACTGCCAAGCTACTGAAAAATGTAGTTAAGTTAGTAGCGTCGCTACTTGTAGTTAACTACTCCCCAACACTGGTGGTGACCATAGACCTGCATTATATGACTGACAGACAAGAACGGTTTGACCTAAAAATATCAAAATTGAAAATACGGTGGAAACAAAGACACTTACATCTTGGATGCCCTTGAGGTGAGATAAAACATATCAAAAAATTAATTTCAAAATGAACTATCCCTTTAAGAGTTGACATATCTGGTGCGCTCGAATGTCGAATCTATACATACATTTCTATAGTTATGAACTTTTACAGTTTTGTCTTGAAGTGTTTTCAGATTTTAAAAGTCGTGTAGTGAATTCCAGCCTTTTTGATGATTTTTCATTCATAAAGGCCTACATTTGACAAGAAAACACAATTTTAGTCTTCCTACTTTCTATTTAATTTCACATTGTAATGTGCCTAAAAAACAACATCCCATTTGAAAGCGCAAGTACTGAGCATAAGCAATGAAACGGTCGAGTTTGCTGTGCATTTCCTTCAGTGTTTGCGTCCTTGCATAGAGTTTGTTTCAGGCTTTAGCGTTTAATACCCTCCGTGCATTCATTAGCTCACCGCACCTTCTGGCTGATTATTAACTATTTGGTTATTGCAATGCCACACGCCCCTTCCATTTTACTTCCCAAAAGCCAGACGTCGGCCTTTAACTGTGACGTGTTGGGCTGCGTTCAAACATCAGGCCTGGTTTTCCTGCACTACCTCAGATAACCAATCAGAAAAGGCCTGTTAGCGAGACGGTACTTCAAAGGTACGTTTGCGTCCGTCGACCTCTCGTGACCTCTGACAGATATTAACTCAGCTTCACTTCATATCATCTGTCCTTGGAAAGAAGCATTTCATTGAGGTTTCAGGGTCTCGGTTTTGTTAATTCAAAAATGGCAGCTGTTATTTACAAATGTTTGTGTCTTCATTTATTAATTTTGCTTGTCAAAACTAAATGAATTGACTGAATATATTTGGGGAAAGTTGTGAAGATTTTGTTTTGTTTTCTGTTTTGCTTCATTGTTTTGGTCTGTGTTTGGGCTGAGAAGGACTACATTTCCCAGAATGCTTTGCTTTCACCTAGTATGACTCATAGTCCCTTAAAGGGACACTCGCATTTCATAGAAAGTAACCAGCATACAAGCTTACCAAAAGTGCCTCTGTATCCCATGAAATGAACACTTCATGAAGTTTACTTTACACGTTAATGTAGCCTGCTGTCATGTTCGTGGCAATACCAGCCAATAATGTATCGACACTTCTCTTTAATCTGTTACCCTGAAATCTCTGTTGTCATATGTTTTAAAAGCAATGGTTCGGGTTCAAAACGAATTAAAACTAGCAACCGCGTCTGTGAATATCCGTCACAAAATATCGGGGTTTTGAACCTGAAACATTCCTTTAAGTAAAGAAAAGGAAACACTGGAAATCTTGCCATGACAAACAACCTGAATGTTTTTTTTATTTTCTGTCAGTAAATGGTCACTTTGGTTGAAGGTCTTGATCTTTGAACCACAAACACACCTGTGTCTCTCACATCTCTCGAGTCTTTTTGGCTTCATACGCTCACAAATGCTGCTTTTCATCAAAATGAGGCTGAATCCCAAATGAAAAATATAAATAAGACAAAAATCCCAGTATAACTATATCCCAGTTTCAATGACTCTTCCGGTTGTTTGTGTTGCAGATTTTTTGGAGATTATTGCACTTTTAAAGAGCAATTTATTTACCTGTTAACTGTCAACCCCCTTTTTAGCATATATCTGAACTGAAATGATTGTAATTCATGAATCTCTTATTAAATATGATTGCAGAAAGCACTTCAACCCTGAAGACTAACCAATATATCTAAGCAAGTTGTGCTCCAAATTTGAAGCTGATATCACAAAAAGTAGGGATGCACCGATATGAAAATTTTGGCTGATACCGATAACCGATAATTTTTCATATTTAAAAAAGCCGATAACCGATATATATGTTGGCTGATAAATCTAAATCCAAGTTTTTGTATAATTTTTGAGAACCTGATTACAAAAACAAAAGTCTCATTTTATTAAAATCCATTTTGAATCACAGGTTTAACGCATACGTTCTTATAATGGGAAAAATCAATGAGAATTGGACTCAGATGAAATTAAAGTTCTGAAGTAGAAAAACTGAAACTTTATGTTCTTGTAAAAATATATTCTTGTTATGTTCTTTGAAAACTCATTTTTTTTAGGAATGCACAGTATCGGGATTGGCTGATATATGTTAATTTTGCATGTAAAAAGTTTAAATATTTGGCCGATATATTTAAAGCCAATTTTATATTTAAAGAAATATCGGTTATCGGCTTTCGCATTTAAAGAATTATCGGTTATCAGCTTTCAAATATAAAAAAATATCGGTTATCAGCTTTCAAATATAAAGAAATATCGGTTATCGGCTTTCAAATATAAAGAATTATCGGTTATCGGCTTTCACATTTAAAGAATTATCGGTTATCAACTTTCAAATATAAAGAATTATCAGTTATCGGCTTTCAAATATAAAGAATTATCAGTTATCGGCTTTCAAATATAAAGAATTATCAGTTATCAGCTTTCAAATAAAAGGAAATATCGGTTATCGGCTTTCAAATAAAAGGAAATATCGGTTATCGGCTTTCAAATATAAAGAAATATCGGTTATCAGCTTTTAAATTTAAAGAATTATCAGTTATCGGCTTTCAAATGTAAAGAATTATCAGTTATCAGCTTTCAAATATAAGGAAATATCGGTTATCAGCTTTCAAATAAAAGGAAATATCGGTTATCGGCTTTCAAATATAAAGAAATATCGATTATCAGCTTTCACATTTAAATAATTATCAGTTACAGCTATTGGACAAAGTTTTCATATCGGTGCATCTCTAATTTTTTTTGTCAGTGTATCTACCAACTCATCGCACTCCTTTACCAACAACACACAGTGTTTTGATTCTAATTGTTGGTGTCATTGGGTTCATCACTTCACAAAAGTCTCACTATTAAAATCCATTTCTTCCAGTTCTCATTATAATTTTATGTAGCCGATATGACAGACTTGTGTTGCACATGTCTTCCTTTTTTTTAAGTTATTTCAATCATATTTCAAGCTATTTGAAACCATCATGTTGAACCGTGCACATCTGAAGGACATAATACATTATTTATCAGCTTTAATACTGTATATCGGCCACATTTTCTAATCAGGCCGATAACATTATGGATGAGCATATATCGGCAGATACCGATATGGTGGCCGATATCATCCTTAACAAAAATGTCCAATTTCACAACGAATTTCACAGGATGAATTTTGAGTGTTCGAATGATACCTGATTTTTTGGGACACTGACAGTTAACAGGCTACACATTATAGAGATACTACTATAGAAATGGAAGTCGTTGTATTTCCAAGTTTTCCATGAGTAGTTGAACCCGGTTGAGTTATGCTGTACCATAATGACAGTAACTTAATATCAACCAAAGATAAGAACGAACCAATATTCTGAATTTCGAAACCATGTAAACATGATGAACAAACTACAACCTCCTTTTTTTTTAATCAATATAGTAAGTAAACACAACTATTGCCACCAACTACTGCAGATACGCATCAGCTTCGCACAGATTAACATGTAAAGCTCTTGGCTTTATCTAGAAAGGATGCAAACAGCACTTTGCCTTGGAAGAAAATCTGCATGTGGTTCAAAGCGAAACAATCGAAGCACTCTGTAACTCCCAGTTATAGATAATCAATGAAACGTTGAGGATGTTTTGTTTTTTTTTATCTCTATCTTTGCTCCTGTGTGTTGGTTGTATTGTTCATACGCTCTCTTTTCCATAGAGAATCAATTAAAACTGCCTTTTTTTAACAGAGCTAACTCCCTTCAGAAATCAAGGGATATGCCAGTATATGTTCAATATTTTGTGTAAAAAAAAAAAGAAAGACAAAACAGTTATAAGATAAAGTGTTGTATTTTATATATAATAGAACATTTCAATGGTATGTCACTAATATATTTATTTACTAATATATTTATCCATTTTTGTCCAGGTCTGAGAAAATGTTTAAAATGTTATTTTCTCACTTTTGGAATGATATTCTTTATGAAACGTACAGCTGCCATTATAGATGTATAAACCTGGCATCATTCCGATTATATACAAATAAATTATTTTGAAATAAAAATACAGACAATGTGGTGTTTGTTTATTTATTTGGGGGGGGGGTGATGATCAACATTTAAGGTCCTTAGTTGCTACATTTTATTTAAAGTTTTAATCTTTTGTTGGGTTGGTGGAAATTCAGCCAAACCAACACGGTGTCGACAGATGAGCTCATTAAAATCACACTGATAAAGTATATTTGAGACTATAGACTCTATAGATTGACTATGTGAGACTGTAGTTTGAATGAATCTCTTTTCTTTGACGACACATTGACATTACAGTTCTTTCAGTATTATCCTGAACATTGTATAAGCATTAGTGTCAGTGAACAGAAGAGAGGCTCTCGTCTGCGATTTCCCCGACAAATACGTCCTATAAATCATAAAAATCAGTCGACAGGGTTTCAGAGGCAAACTATGAAGTCGGGGAAGGACTCGTTTTTTAAGTTTTGTAAAAATCTTACATATAGCCCCTTTAAGTTTTTGAACATTTTATTTTAATTATAACATTAATTTTAATTCAAGCAATTCTTTTTTTAATTGTTTTGCTTTTCATTTTAGATTTAGTTCACTATAACAACCCTCAAATGTCTTAGAAAAAAATGTTTAACCAATTTGACTCGTGGATGTAGCTGATGAATGTGAATGATACCGATACATTATACGTTACATTCTTTATTGTTGCGCTGCAGTTCAGTGTTAACTGATGCTCTCGTGTTATTCTTTCACTCCAGGACGCGGGCTTGTGAGTTTGTGTTTCTGCAGATGTGTTTGTGTGTGTCAGTGAAACTCCTTCGGGATGCCCTGGCTCTCCGGTGTGAGAACCGTCAGGTTTCCTCTGGCGTGCTGGTCCTTCTCTATGGCCTCGAACAGAGATTTGAAGTTTCCAGCTCCAAAACCCTTGAGGAGAAGAAGACAGAGAATCACAGGTTTAATGCATACGTTCTTATAATGGGAAAAATCTATGAGAATTGGACTCAGATGAAATATGTAATCAGCTGAATTAAAGTTCTGAAGTAGAAAAACTGAAACTTTATGTTCTTGTAAAAATATATTCTTGTTATGTTCTTTGAAAACTCATTTTTTTAGGAATGCACAGTATCGGGATTGGCTGATATATGTTAATTTTGCATGTAAAAAGTTTAAATATTTGGCCAATATATTTAAAGCTGATAAATAATGTATTATTTCCTTCAGCTGAGACACTTCAGATGCGACTGTTCAACATGATGGTTTTGAATAGCTTGAAATATGATTGAAATCACTTCAAAAAAGTAAAATACAAATACTGTCATAACGGCTATATAAAATTATAAGAACATCATTATAATTGTGTGTTTGGGACGTGGATTTTAATGGTGAGACTTGTTTTTGTAATCAGGCTCTTAAAAATTTTATAAAAACTATCAGCCAATATATCGGTTATCAGCTTTCAAATATAAAGGAATATCGGTTATTGGCTTTCAAATATAAAGAAGTATCAGTTATCGGCTTTCAAATATAAGGAAATATCGGTTATCGGCTTTCCATTATAAAGAAATATCGGTTATCGGTTTCAAATATAAAGAAATATCGGTATCGGCTTTCACATTTAAAGAATTGTCGGTTATCAGCTTTCAAATATAAAGAAATATCGGTTATTGGCTTTCAAATATAAAGAATTATCAGTTATCGGCTTTCAAATATAAGGAAATATCGGTTATCGGCTTTCAAATATAAAGAAATATCGGTTATCGGCTTTCACATTTAAAGAATTATCGGTTATCAGCTTTCAAATATAAAAAATATCGGTTATCGGCTTTCAAACAGAAAGAAATATCGGTTATCAGCTTTCACATTTAAAGAATTATCGGTTATCAGTTTTCAAATATTAAGAATTATCAGTTATCGGCTTTCAAATATAAGGAAATATTGTTTATCGGCTTTTAAATATAAAGAAATATCGGTTATCGGATTTCACATTTAAAGAATTATCGGTTATCAGCTTTCAAATATAAGGAAATATTGGTTATCGGCTTTTAAATATAAAGAAATATCAGTTATCGACTTTCACATTTAAAGAATTATCGGTTATCTGCTTTCAAATATAAGGAAATATTGGTTATCGGCTTTTAAATATAAAGAAATATCAGTTATCGACTTTCACATTTAAAGAATTATCGGTTATCAGCTTTCAAATATAAAAAATTATCAGTTATCAGCTTTCAAATATAAAGAAATATTGGTTATTGGCTTTCAAATATAAAGAATTATCAGTTATCTGCTTTCAAATATAAGGAAATATTGGTTATCGGCTTTTAAATATAAAGAAATATCGGTTATCAGCTTTCACATTTAAAGAATTATCGGTTATCAGCTTTCAAATATAAAGAATTATCAGTTATCAACTTTCAAATATAAAGAATTATCGGTTATCGGCTTTCAAATATAAGGAAACATTGTTTATCGGCTTTTAAATATAAAGAAATATTGGTTATCGGCTTTCACATTTAAAGAATTATCGGTTATCAGCTTTCAAATATAAAAAATATTGGTTATCGTCTTTCAAATATAAAGAAATATCGAATTATCAGCTTTCACATTAAAAGAATTATCAGTTACAGGTATCGGACAAAGTTTTCATATCGGTGCATCTCTAATTTTTTTTGTCAGTGTATCTACCAACTCATCGCACTCCTTTACCAACAACACACAGTGTTTTGATTCTAATTGTTGGTGTCATTGGGTTCCTCACTTTTTCTTGCTCTGTTTGAAATTTTTAAGCACCACAAAAGACAGGGAAACCCCTTTAGTGTGGGTTAGAAAGAAATGTTTTATCTTTAGGCATTTCCTTCACTTCACAAGCTTTAAAAATGCCCCTAATAAAACTATGGGCCTGTTCAAACAGGTTGTCAGAGCTCAGACTCAAACTCAATACTGTAAATGTGATTACTGTACCTAAATACAGACAACACACTTCTTCTCATTCAGTATATTTCATCTAATGACACACGATCAACTGCACTGCGCATGTCAAAACTTTCCTGAACATTCACGTTCGCTGTTCCCATAAACACTTTTTATGATATGACATCTCCTATAAGGTATTCGTATGTGGTGGATATTTGCAATATTTATTTGTGTTGTTTGTTGTGGTTTATTGTTGCATCTGTGGGTTTTTAAAGGGATAGTTAACCCAAAATTTAAAATTCTGTCAGTAATGACTTAACCTTTTGTCGTTCCAAGCGTTTAAGACTTTCATTCATCTTCTGAACACAAATTAAGATATTTGTAATGAAATGTGAAAGATTTCTATTACCTCCATTGAAAGTCTATTCAACCAAAACTCTGATGCTTATAAACTTTTATAAAGAGATTGTAAAATAAATGCATAAGAATTGAGTGGTTTATTCCAGTCTTCTGAAAAGACACGATCACTGACACTAATGCTTGTACAATGTTCAGGATAATGCTGAAACAGCCGTCGTCCAAAGAAAAGAGATTCATTCAAACTACAGTCTCACATAGTCCGATCTATAGAGTCTATAGTCTCAAATATCTATAGTTCCCTATCGTAGTCACTTCGAGTTACGTCAGAAGTGACGGAGATTGGGGGGTTTCGCATAGAAAGCCAATCCTCTTCGAGTATTAAAACACGAGCCAATGGCATGCAATGCCTTGGGGCTGCGGAATTTTGCATAGCGTACTCCGCCCTACTCCGTGAGTATAAAAGGAGGAAGTGAACGCAACCGCAGTATGTTTTCGCTTCGGAGCCAAGAGAACCTCTTCACTCCTGAAAGCACTGTTCAAGACTCTTCGAGACGAGCGTCCTCTTCAGTGTTGGTGTGACGGCGGTACCCAGCGAGATTCTGCATCGCCTGCGATCTGAGCAGTGGTCTGCCAGACTTTGCGCTTCTCCCTGGTCGCTTCAGCGCTGAAAGAGTGAATTTCCTCCTCTCATTGAAAGAGCTGCACGCGCACGTCTTTTTAAAGACGGTTCGCCCGTGCTCTTCTGGGTGTGATTGATTTCTGTCGTCATCTGATGGTCACGATCGCTGCTTTGTATGCCTGGGCATTTCAGCATGCAGCAGCAGCGTTCGTGGATGACTCATTTTCCTTCTGTGGGAACATGACCATCTCTACACTGAGGTCGAGACTCAATGATCTCACTTGAGTGAGAGTCCCGGTCCCCCCCGCTCGATCGGTTTCCTCCATAGGGGGCCCGTCGACCCGGGGACCTGGTGATTTACGGTGATGGTGTGGGATAAGCCCCGACGATTCCTCGGGCCACACCTCCCGCCTCAGTGCGAGAGCCAGCGAGCGTTAGTTCGATTCAGTCGGTTGCTTCTTCGGTGGCACCGGCTGCTTCGGGCAGCGCTCCAGATGATGATGCGATGTCGATCACAGCATCACTAGGCGGGCTTGACTCCTCGGGAAGTGAGGATGCGGCCGCGTTGCCTCCCTCGGGAGCGTCAGCGCCGCCGTGTCTGATCCCGCGATGATGGCCGTGCTATCTCGGGCGTCCGTGAGCATCGGGTGGGGGTGGAACTCCGCCCCTCCCCGATCTCTCGCGGCTGAATAATTGGTTTTTGGGTAACGCTGCCGCCTTACGGCCACGGCCAACCCCAATTTCCTTTTTTCCCCGAGTTGCATGCGGAACTGACACGCACTAAAAAATAAATAAAAAAAAAAAAAAAAAAAAGCGTGCTTAGTTCCCCGCCCTTCCTCCCCTCGGCGATGCGGCTGTCTGTGGGTACGCTGGGGCTCCCCGGTCAACCGGCGGTTGCTCTCAGATGCCCCTCCAAAGCCTATGGGTTCTCGTCGTCTATGGCGGCGCGATTCTGTAGAGCGGCGGGACAGGCAGCCTCCGCCCTGCATATGATGAGCACCTACAAAGCTAGCTGCTCAGGAATGTGCACGAGGAGGTGACGGACCAAGCGAGCTGCGAGCCTGTCGCCTACCTTGTCCTTAAACGGGTCACGGAGGCGGTCGCTCGCTCCCTTGGTCAGGTGATGCCCACCGCTGTGGTCCAGGAGCATCATAATGTTCGGCGGTGCGGTCCAGGACTTTGCCCAGCACTTCTCGACCGCCTAGGAGCAGACGAAGGCGGTTTCTCTGCCCCGACGGCCAGCTGCTGCCTCCAACCAGCCGTCGGCTCGGACGCCTCCGCCAGCTCGCCGCCGAGGACGCCCCCCTGCGGCTCCCTTCCCTCCCACGCGGCCCCAGCAGCAGCCTTCAGCCGGTTCGCGTCGCGGAGGAGGCCACAGGTAAGCGTCCCAAGAAAAGAGCCCCCCCTCAGGCCGCGTGCCCCGCTAGATGCCAGGCGAAGCGATGTTCCTGAGGCGGGCCGCTCAGTGATAGTGTCATGGTTTTTCTCAGGAGGCGGTGGCAGGGCCCTCCTTCCCCGGTGGAGGGCCGGTGGAGAATCTTTTGTTCTAGCTAGCTCCCTGAGCTGGTTGAGGAAAAGCTGACACTGTCATTGAGCACACAGACTGGAATGAGCGCGCACGACGTCCAGTGCGTCGCCCCGTTCATTCCTCTCTGTCTCGGAGGGCGCGGAAGGGTGCGTGTGTCGTCCCCGGGCTACGCCAATCCCTTCCCCCTCTGTCGCCAGACCCCCGGCAGAACAGACCCCCGTGGAACGCTCTGCCTTCCCTGGTCTCTTCTGTCGGGGAGCGGGTTTCGACGGTGCATCCGGACGGGGTAACTCCTGCACGCATGCCGGTCGACCCGCCTCGCTGCCCCTCCGGGGGGACGTCTGTGGTTCGCATGACCCCGTTGGCTCACTTCCTGGAAGCCTGGCTAGCGCTTCCCGGGGTTCCCGCTGGGTCATCAGAACGATCGGATTCGGCTACGCGATTCAGTTCGCACGGTCTCTTCCCCGCTTCAGGGGAGTTCGCTCCACGATGGTTGGTGGCAATGCCCCAGTCTTGAGAGCGGAGATTGCGACCCTGCTGGCGAAGGGTGCAATCGAGACGGTCCCTCCAGCCGAGGTGAGGTCCGGGCTTTACAGCCCCTACTTCATTGTCCCCAAGAAAGACCGGTGGGTTACGACCGATCCTGGACCTGCGCATTTTGAACCGTTCTCTCCATCGACTACCGTTCAAAATGCTCACGGCCAAACGCATTTTCGAATGTGTTCGGTATCAGGATTGGTTTGCAGCGATCGACCTGAAGGACGCGTACTTCCATGTCTCCATTCTCCCTCGACACAGACCGTTTCTTCGGTTTGCCTTCGAGGGCCAGGCATACCAGTACGCCGTTCTCCCATTCGGGTTAGCTCTGTCCCCTCGCGTCTTCACGAAGATCGTCGAGGCAGCCCTTGTTCCCCTTCGCGAACACGGGGTTCGCATCCTGAACTATCTCGACGACTGGCTGTTACTAGCACACTCTCGAGCTCAGGTTTGCGAACACAGAGACCTGGTGCTACGGCACCTAGCCCGTCTGGGCCTTCGGGTCAACCGGGAAAAGAGCATACTTTGCCCCGTGCAGAGGATCTCTTTTCTCGGCATGGAGATAGACTCGGTCGCCATGTCCGCGCAGCTCACGAACGAGCGCGCGCACTCACTGCTGGCTTGTCTTCGACAGTTCGAGGGCAAGAGTGCGGTTCCACTGAAACTTTTCAGAGGCTCCTGGGGCATATGGCATCCGCGGCCGCGGCAACGCCGCTCGGTTTGCTTCATATGAGACCGCTTCAGCTGTGGCTTCGCGATCGAGTCCCGAGGTGGGCATGGCATCGCGGCTCGCTCCGAGTTCCAGTGACTCCGATGTGCCGCCGATCCTTCTTCCCGTGGTCGAACCTCAGCTTTTTACGGACAGGGTCCCTATTCAGCGAGTTTCCAGGCATCTCGTTGTCTCCACGGATGCGTCTACCACGGGTTGGGGTGCCATGTGCAATGGGCATGCAGCCGCCGGTTCCTGGACAGGAGCCCAGCGCCTCATGCACATCAATTGCCTCGAGCTGTTGGCAGTACGGCTCGCCCGGCACCGCTTCCGAGCGTGCTCTAGGGCCAGCATGTGCTTGTCCGCTCAGACAACACTACGGCAGTAGCGTACATCAACCACCAGGGGGGGTCTACGCTCGCGCCGGTTGTCGCAGCTCGCCCGCCACCTCTTGATATGGAGTCAGAAGCACCTGAGGTCCCTTCGTGCAGTTACATTCCTGGAGACCGGAATCGGGCAGCCGCGAGCTGTCCCGGGCCCGTCCCATCTCCGGCGAATGGCGACTCCATCCCCAGTCGGTCCAGCTGATTTGGGACCAGTTCGGGGAGGCACAGTTAGACCTGTTCGCCTCTCGGGACTCGTCCCACTGCGCCCAGTTATTCTCTGACCCGCGGCTCTCTCGGCTCGGATGCGCTGGCGCACAGCTGGCCACGGGGCCCACGCAAGTGTGCGTTCCCCCAGTGAGCCTCCTTGCACGGGTGTTGTGCAAGATCAAGGAGGACGAGGAGCAGGTCTTGCTGGTAGCCCCCTACTGGCCCACCAAGACGTGGTTCTCCGAACTCTTGCTCCTCGCGACAGCACCTCCTTGGCCTATTCCTCTGAGACCGGACCTACTCTCTCAGAGACGGGGCACTCTGTGGCACCCTCGTCCCGATCTTGGAGGCTGCACGTGTGGCTCCAGGACGGGACGAGGCAGGTTTGAGTTCGCTGCCACCTGCGGTGGCGGCAACCATCACTTCCGCAAGAGCGTCGTCCACGTGACACCTTTATGCGTTGAAGTGAAACCTCTTCGTCAATTGGTGTTCTTCTCGCTGAGAAGACCCCCGGAGATGTTCGATCGGAGTCATGCTTCCTTCCTGCAAGAGGGGTTGTAGCGCAGGCTGTCGCCCTCCACCCTTTGGATTATGTCGCGGCCATTGCCGCGTCTCATGATGCAGTGAAAGGTAAGTCTATGGGAAGCATGACCTGGTCATCAGGTTCCTGAGGGGAGTGAGGGGGCTAAATCCGCCTCCCTCCCCTCCTGCCCTCTGGGGACCTCTCAGTAGACCTGGGTGCTCTGCAGAGGCCTCCCCTGGAGCCTTTGCAGTCGGTAGAGTTTTTGCCCTGTCCTATGTGACAGCACTCCTGATTGCATTGGTATCCATCAGGAGAGTAAGGGACCTGCACGCACTCTCTGTTGACGAAGTGTGCCTGGAGTTCGGGCCGGCTTACTCTCACGTATTCCTGAGACCCCGGCCTGGATATATGCCCAAGGTTCCTACCACTCCCTCCGGGACCTGGTGGTGAACCTGCAAGCGCTGCCCCTGGAGGAGGCAGACCCAGCCTTGGCACTGCTCTGTCTGGTACGTGCTCTCCGCACCTATGTCGACAGAACGCAGTGTTTCAGGACCTCAGACCAGCTCTTTGTCTGTCATGGGGGGAGCCAGAAGGGAAGGGCTCTCTCAAAGCAACGGCTGTCCCACTGGATAGTGGATGCCATTGCTTTGTCTTACCAGCAGCAAGGCCTTCCGTGCCCCCTTGGTGTGACGGCCCATTCCACTCGGAGTGTAGCCTCCTCTTGGGCTTTAGCGCACGGCGCCTCGCTAACAGACATCTGCAGAGCTGCAGGCTGGGCGACACCCAACACCTTCGCCAGATTCTATAATCTGCGAATTGAGCCGGTATCCTCTCACGTACTCGTTTCGGCCAGTTCTGGATCCGCTCAGGTGTCTTCGCTTGCTCGCCACTCCACTCCCCGGACTGGATAAGTGCGATATTTCCTCAGTTCTTCCATTGAAGTCTTGAGTCCTCCAGCACCGACGATGCGGGCACCACTGCGTTGCTCTGGATGCTAGCTAGGTGCCTCCATGCGCACGGTTCCCCATGGTAACCGTCTCATGTGTATTATCCACTGTAAGCCTCTCTGAGCATGTGTCTTCCCTTGGCAAGCCATCTGCCACCCCTGGAGTTTAAATCAGTAGCCACCTGCGGTTGGTACTCCAGTGTTCCATATGCGTTCCTATGTGGCCATATGTGTATTCTTAAGTCCTCCCTTCGGTAGGCAGCTGGTAGCATGTCCCCTTCGGGATATGTTCCCAGTGTACCTTGGTAATCCTGTGTCAAAGTCGGATCCCCAAAAAAAAAAAAAAAAAAAAGAGGTAAGGCTCGGGGTTCAGTCTTTCGCAGGGCACTGGAAGACAGCTTGAAGATGGCGTGATGGCACAGACCCCCAATCTCCGTCACTTCTGACGTAACTCGAAGTGACTACGATAGGGAACGTCTCGGTTACGTATGTAACCCTCGTTCCCTGAGTAGGGAACGGAGACGTTACGTCTCCCTGCCACTTCTGCTGTATCGCTGGGTAGAGGCCGAGTTCAGTCTTGGCTCCTCAGCGAAGACATACTGCGGTTGCGTTCACTTCCTCCTTTTATACTCACGGAGTAGGGCGGAGTACGCTATGCAAAATTCCGCAGCCCCAAGGCATTGCATGCCATTGGCTCGTGTTTTAATACTCGAAGAGGATTGGCTTTCTATGCGAAACCCCCCAATCTCCGTCACTTCTGACGTAACGTCTCCGTTCCCTACTCAGGGAACGAGGGTTACATACGTAACCGAGACGTTATATATAAATCTCACCGTGAGAAAATCAGGATCTTGAATCACGTTCAGTCTCTTGTACGTTGCGCTGCTGCAGTTCACCTAAAGGCCACCGGTGTCGCTAATAACACGATTTTCTCAATTCTACATATAGCACTTTTCTTCGCATATAAACATTGATCAGTAAAGCAATGAGGTCCAATTGTTCATTAAACCTGTTAAATCTGTTTGTCTTCAAATTATCTCCTCGGAAGACTTAATACATATGGATTTATATAACAATCTCTTTATAAACGCTTTGAAGCGTCAAATTTCAGGTGAATAAGGACATAAAAAATCTCTTTCTTTTCCTAAGATGAACGAAAGTCTTATGGGTTTGGAACGAGTAAATGATGACAGAAATGTAATTTGTGGTTGGACTAGGCTTCGTTAAATTCACTTTTAAAAAGCCTCTTCTAAATGAATACATGTAAATGCCTGTTAATGTCAGACTCACAGAGTGGTTGTGCCTCTGGATGACCTCCAGGAAGAGCGTGGGCCGGTCCTGCACGGGTTTGGTGAAGATCTGTAGCAGGTAACCCTTATCGTCGAAGTCTACTAAGATTTTTAACTCCTGCATTGGATGGAAAAAAAACATTCAAATACATTCGTTTATTGAACGAAACGCAACATCATATCCAAACGGGAATCCTGGTTTCTCTAACCTGCAGTGTTTTAAGGTCCTCCTTCACCTTGATCTTGGCCGTCTTCAGGTTCTGTCGTAGGATTTCATAGTAGTTATCAGGAGCAGACAAGAACTCCATCCCTCGAGCTCGAAGGTTCACGATCTGATTCACAAGGACAGAGTTTCATGTTTTGTCTTTTACTTTATTTTATTCTAATAGGAATGAAGTCACACTGAGAGGAGCCGTACAGCTTGGATGATGTTGGACGTGTTCAGGGCGATATGCTGCACTCCGGGTCCTCCGTTGTAGTCAATATACTCCTTTACAAACGAAAAAAGAGAATTACTAGACACTTACTAGATTTTTTTAATTGTTAAATGTTTCTGTTAAAGGGATAGTTCACCCCAAAAATAAAAACTATTTTAACAACGTCTTTAATAACTTTTCTGGGCTGGCAAATTTCAATCCCGTAGAAGCCTATGGAGGAGTGATCCGGCTCTTATTAAGATGAACGAAATCTCAAATCTCAGGGGAACTTCAACTAAATATCAAGGGGTTCAGCTTAGAAAAGTTTTTGGGAATCTCTGACGCAATTAATTCAATAAAAACTGGAATAAACGCAAGAAGTTTGATGATTTCTAGGGATCTGCTGGAAGAACCTGGATTTGTGATTTCTTTATCCCGATTGCTGGTTCATTAATGGGCATCTTGATGGTTTCCTCATAATTGGTGACTACGATGGATCTGAGAGCGCTGTACTCGGTGTGGATCTGTTTATCATCGATGGACCAGAACCTGTGGAAGAGCAGACACTTCTGATACCTGCAGAAAAAAGACGGAGAGAACGTGTTCTTTTGTCAATGACATTTCCACACATTTGTGTTATAGATTGGTTTGATGGATGTGTGACCCTCCCTCACCAGTCTGTTACTGGCACCATTTTGTCATCTGGCTGGTTTCCAACAATGTGATCGATGAAGCTTAAATGTCCTGGCGGCCTGTTGGCAGAGAAGGAGAACCACAAGGGGAAAACGTTTCTGAGATGTTTCATGTTTTTGAACTTCTAGCGGTCACAGTTTCATGCATTTTTGTATTCTGAAATGTGTCATGCATGTTTCCCTAGAGTATGTTTCTGGGCTTTTTTATGCTCACATTATTTTACAAGATGTTGTACATGTTCTAATTGTTTTATAAAAACATTCTATGTGATAATCTTCCAAATAAAAGGATAGTCTTACACATTCGTTGTGTGTGTGTGTGTGTGTGTGTGTCTCATTCTATGGAAGTCAACAACAATTGTTTGGTTATCAACAGTAAACAAAGAAACTCTTAGAGGTTTAGAACATATCTATGAAAGCTTGTTTCACTGAATAAAATTGCGCCACTGAATTAATTTATTTTTAAATAATTGCGACTTTATCTCACAATTGCGAGATATGAAGTCAGAATTGTGAGAAATAAAGCCGCAATTGCGAGACATAAAGTCGCGATTCTGAGAAATAAAGTTGCAATTGCGAGATATAAAGTCGCGATTCTGAGAAATAAAGTTGCAATTGCGAGATATAAAGTCGCGATTCTGGGAAATAAAGTTGCAATTGCGAGATATAAAGTCGCGATTCTGAGAAATAAAGTTGCAATTGCGAGATATAAAGTCGCGATTCTGAGAAATAAAGTTGCAATTGCGAGATATAAAGTCGCGATTCTGAGAAATAAAGTTGCAATTGCGAGATATAAAGTCGCGATTCTGAGAAATAAAGTTGCAATTGCGAGATATAAAGTCGCGATTCTGGGAAATAAAGTTCCAATTGCGAGATATAAAGTCGCGATTCTGAGAAATAAAGTTGCAATTGCGAGATATAAAGTCGCGATTCTGAGAAATAAAGTTGCAATTGCGAGATATAAAGTCGCGATTCTGAGAAATAAAGTTGCAATTGCGAGATATAAAGTCGCGATTCTGAGAAATAAAGTTGCAATTGCGAGATATAAAGTCGCGATTCTGAGAAATAAAGTTGCAATTGCGAGATATAAAGTCGCGATTCTGGGAAATAAAGTTCCAATTGCGAGATATAAAGTCGCGATTCTGAGAAATAAAGTTGCAATTGCGAGATATAAAGTCGCGATTCTGGGAAATAAAGTTGCAATTGCGAGATATAAAGTCGCGATTCTGAGAAATAAAGTTGCAATTGCGAGATATAAAGTCGCGAATCTGAGAAATAAAGTTGCAATTGCGAGATATAAAGTCACAATTCTGAGAAATAAAGTTGCAATTGCGAGATATAAAGTCGCGATTCTGAGAAATAAAGTTGCAATTGCGAGATATAAAGTCGCGATTCTGAGAAATAAAGTTGCAATTGCGAGATATAAAGTCGCGATTCTGAGAAATAAAGTTGCAATTGCGAGATATAAAGTCGCGATTCTGAGAAATAAAGTTGCAATTGCGAGATATAAAGTCGCGATTCTGAGAAATAAAGTTGCAATTGCGAGATAGAAAGTCGCGAATCTGAGAAATAAAGTTGCAATTGCGAGATATAAAGTCACAATTCTGAGAAATAAAGTTGCAATTGCGAGATATAAAGTCGCGATTCTGAGAAATAAAGTTGCAATTGCGAGATATAAAGTCGCGAATCTGAGAAATAAAGTTGCAATTGCGAGATATAAAGTCACAATTCTGAGAAATAAAGTTGCAATTGCGAGATATAAAGTCGCGATTCTGAGAAATAAAGTTGCAATTGCGAGATATAAAGTCGCGAATCTGAGAAATAAAGTTGCAATTGCGAGATATAAAGTCACAATTCTGAGAAATAAAGTTGCAATTGCGAGATATAAAGTCGCGATTCTGAGAAATAAAGTTGCAATTGCGAGATATAAAGTCGCGAATCTGAGAAATAAAGTTGCAATTGCGAGATATAAAGTCGCGATTCTGAGAAATAAAGTTGCAATTGCGAGATATAAAGTCGCGATTCTGAGAAATAAAGTTGCAATTGCGAGATATAAAGTCGCGATTCTGGGAAATAAAGTTGCAATTGCGAGATATAAAGTCGCGATTCTGAGAAATAAAGTTGCAATTGCGAGATATAAAGTCACGATTCTGGGAAATAAAGTTGCAATTGCGAGATATAAAGTCACAATTCTGAGAAATAAACTCGCAATTGCCATAAAAAAAGACAGAATCGCGGTTTACATCTCGCAATTCTGAGGCCCTGTTTTCACGAGAACACTCGCGGGTGAAAAAACGTAAAAATGTTTTATCGAATCTGCCTTTCGTTTATACAGTGACGTTTTTGAAGCTTAAAAACGCAAAAAAGTGAAACCACCCTCCAGAGTGGAAATCTTAAAAACGCTCCACCGTCGCGTTCCCATGTAAAGGGTAAAAACGCAAATGTCTGCTAGACAGTGAAGGTTGTACGCAGGCGCACGGACTTGGTGTTTAAGTTTATAGGTTAAGAACTACTTAGCGATAAGAACGTTTTGGGGAACCGTATGGAGTGAAAACGGTCTCAAAATCTTCCACAAATGCACCTGACAGAAAAAAGCTGTCCTGTTATCCGAATGGTTTTCTTAATTGGCTATATATTATGATTATACGTTGAAGAATAAAAAAAGAGGTTTGGTTTTACTCGATATTTGCATTTACATATATATGATGTTTAGTGACAAATGTTTAGACTTCAGTTGTCTGAAAACGAAATGAATCCAGCCCTTTGAAAGACTCAGCTCATAGGCCGGTTAGCGCCCTCTGGAGGAAGACACCATATCGCATCCTTGCAGGCATAGGCGGAGTTTGACATTCGAGCCAGGGGGGGCAAAAAAAAAAAAAAAAAAAAAAAAAACATGCTAAATAAACACATATTTATTTTTATCCCAAGAAAAACCAGTAAAACAATACACTGATATTTTATTGCCTTTATGTCATTGTAAACAGCTAGAACTTCGCATTAACAGCCACTTCGCGTCGCATCTTCGTTATAGGATCATGAAATGTGGACCACTTTTGCACTGTTAAAATATTATCTTCAACCTTAAAGTTTTCTTTCCTTTTTTCAAAACACATTCTGGCAATGATAATGATTAAAAAACTAGTTAAATTTCGCATTTATACTTCATGAATCATTGAAAAAATTTTAAGACACGGGATTAGGCTACCTATTGGTTTTGATGAGGGGAAAAAAAAAAACTTTACGAGTGCGGATTAGAACCTCGAACCTCCCGAGTCCTGGATCTGGACCATCACTGTATACACGAAAAAGGGAGTATATATTTTATATACTCACTATACACATGAAAAAAGTGCTATACTCTGACATTGTGCTCATTTTTATTTTGCAATAAAGGGCGTATACTTTATACTCACTATACTCGGACATTGTGCTCAATTTTATTTATGTACATCAGGAGCTACAGAACATCGTCTTTCAAAACATCGAAAGAGAGAAAAAGAATGAATGCGTACCCAGCACTTGTGAAAATGCCCTTTCGAGTACGTCTCTGTCCCCAGCACATTTCAAATTGACGCCCATTTATCGCAGAAAAGCTTCTCTCAGAGTTAGATGACACAATCGACCGAGTGAGCGATAACTTAAAGAGATTGGGGTTGGTAGTTTTTTTACAGCCTTTTTAAGAAAATGCGATTACCCGTTTCAGCCACCGGGGGGGGCAACGCTCCCCCTGCCCCCCCGCAAACTCCGCGCCTGCTTGCAGGTAATGTGGACAGATCGGCTTGTGTGCATTTGTGAATCAAGACCGCGGAGAGTCTCATGGTGTGCATTTATGGATGTGTGCTCGCGCATATGGATCTCTCGCGTGCATTTGTGGAAGGTATTGAGACTGTTTTCTCTCTCCATAGAACCGGGCCCAGATTGAACGTTTTCTTAACGTAACTGTAAGCATGTTTGTTCTGAGGATTTTGTCCGTGTTGTGTTAGTTCACTCACAGTTTTGGTAACAGAGGGTCTCTGAACAACGGCTCATGGTATCCTGGCAGAAACAAACCTTTATACGGTCCCGTGTACTCAATAAACGTGTGTGTCGTGTCTCCGTACTGCAGAACACAACATCAGACAGTAAGTGTAAGTTTACAGTAAGAGTATGTCTGCGTAAACACACGTTTCTCTGACGTACAGTTTGAATGACCGCGTATTTGACTTTTCCTCCGGAGTCCTGCTCCACCCACGGCTCTCGCACGACCACTGCTCCTCTCTCTTTGGCTTTCTGGGAACGCAAACACACATTTATTAAAAAGTCCCTTCAAGGTAAATCTGTTTCCGCCATGCAGGTGATGGTTGTGTTCAGAATGGACTATACTAACTTACTGTAAACTGTAAAAGTTCAGAACACACTGTATACTTGCATTTCGATATCTTATTCCATGCTTTTAATATTATTATTTTTTGCATTGTGATATTTATTTCACATTTAACCCCATTTTAACCCTCAAATTCTCATTACTGTAATCCAAAACCTCCTCCAATTAACCTTGTAACCTGTGATTAATTATCATGAAAATAACCCCTACTTAAGTGCAATATGCATTAAGGATACATGCAACTTATTTTTGAAAATGTTTACTAGCATAATGCAGTAATTTTGGAAATAAATATTTTGCATTTCATTTTCGTTTTTAATTGATTTTTGTAATTGTAATTTAATTGATCTTTTAAATATTTTTGTCTTTAATTAATTATGAGTTTATAGCTTTTTCCTGCTTTCTCAATATCACTTTCATTCATTTTGAAAAATCCCTTTAAGGAAAGGCAGTTCCTTAATGACATCATCTAGAAGTGACATCATTTTGGAGGGAAAATATTCAAATCAAAATTCTTTGATGTTTACTGGAAATCCTCACTAAATTAAATGTCAATAATGTAACAAACCTTGACTAAAAAGTCGCAGTCCTCCACTTGAAATGCGACGTCTTTCACTCCGTCTCCATGTTTCATCAGATGCTCCCCCATTTCTGTGGAGCGAGAGGCTCTTTTCTCAATCCAGGCTCATTTTAGCACACAATAATTAGAGTAATTATCTATGTGTCAATATTGTCATATGCCTTTCAACAGTTACACCCATGTTAACCCACAAATTCTCATGCATTAATATTTTTTATACACTACACTGCAGTGTTGGAAAATAAATGAAGTGGTTCATACCCTCATTTCCAGGGTTCAGAGGAGACTCGAAGACGAATATTATCTGTGAAAAGAACAAATACTTTTAACTCTGTGAGTGATTTTGAAACCCTCTGATGCTCTACAGTTATTTTTGACCGAAACATTTTGTACATAAAGTACATGGAATGAGTGATTGTACACTCTATAAAATGTTGGGTTGTTTTAACCTAATTTTGGGTCAAATACTGTATGTACAAACCCAAATCTTGGGTTAAAAATGTAATTTAAAAAAATGGCTGGGTTTGTCCATTCACTCTAAAAAATGCTGGGTTGTTTCAACCCAAATTTGGGTCAAATATGGACAAACCCAAATGTTGGGTTAAAAATGTCATTAAAAATGTTTTTTAATAACATTTTTAACCCAACATTTGGGTTTGTCCATTTTTGACCCAAATTTGGGTTGAGACAACCCAGAATTTTTTAGAGTGAATGATGTGTGTAGATGATGTCATGTGTGTTGATCCTCGACACACACACACCTTGTCCTGTCTGACGGCATGAGACCCAAATGTTGGCTTAAAAATGTCATTTAAAATGTTTTTTAATTACATTTTTAACCCAACATTTGGGTTTGTCCATTTTTGATCCAATTTTGGGTTGAGACAACCCAGAATTTTTTAGAGTGAATGATGTGTGTGTAGATGATGTCATGTGTGTATTGATCCTCGACACACACACACCTTGTCCTGTCTGACGGCATGAGACACCAGTTCTCGACTGCCCGTCTCCAGACCTTTATACGCCAGCGGCTCGAAGCCGAACTTATCGCAGTAGAACACCGCGGCCTAGATCAACAGGAGAAACACACACACACACTCTCTGGCTGCTTAAACACACATTTTAAGGGTGTATCTGTCTCACAGTTTTATTCTGGCAAGTTGTTTTAATTGGATAATCAAAAGAATTTAAAAATACCTGTTAGAGAACAACATTCAAAAAGCAGACAAATGATCAGTGGAGTTCTAAATAGAATTTTAGGGTTTTGATACTGTCATGTTAATTTTGTTAGTGAGATAAAGTATGTTTATGAGTCATAAAAAATTAATTAAAACTGAATCCATTAAAGGATCCCATCGGAAACACTCTATTTTGCCATGAGTAAAAAGTAGTTGATGCTTAGTATGAAATAGATTTATGTATTTAGTTTATATTTTTATGTGATTTGATTTTAGTTATGAAAGAAAATGGCATAATAAAACCAGCCCTATAGTAAAAGTGCAACAAATTACAGTAAATTTCACAGTGTAAAGTAATATATTTGTATTGTATTAAAATATATTATGGAGAAAAGACCATAACATTCTTGTGTTTTACAGTAAAAAAAATGCAATTTAAATGCATTTACAGCAATGCATTTACAGCAATTTAAAATGCATTTACAGCAATTTAAATGGTACTGTAAATATGAATTCAGTGTTTTTACTGTAAGTTTAATTTACAGTAAATTACTGTAATTTCTACAGGATTTTTTTTACAGTGTATGCAATACAAATGTCATTTGTCAGAAAAAAGTATTTCAAAGAAATCAGAAATCATGGAGTAAGTTCAAATTTATTTGAAATATTTTGAGGTCAAGCTACTAGATTAAATGAATTTCTGAGTTAGGCTACTTGATTGAAACATGTTCTATCAAAATGAAAACATCGAATGAAAACCAAAGAGTATAACCATTTCAAGTCAGTTTAACATGATGCAATAGTGAACTTGAAACCTGATATACAACGGTGTAAAATTTTGTTCACTTTTTTTATGTTGTTAACTGTTAAAAAATGTTTTCAAGATTTGTTATCACAACATATTTTCTTTTGTCAAATCAACTTTATAATAATTTATTTAGTTGAGATAATTTATTATTTTGAGTTTCTGATGGTTAAATTAATCTCCTTCATTGTATTAACTCACTTTTTCCAGTTCAATCAACTTAAAATTTTAAGGCAACCCAGGTTACTTACTTTTTTAAGTTAAACCAACAAAAAAAATGTACAGTGTAGTAATCACAACATTTTTTCTTTTGTCAAATCAACTTAAATAATTTATTTAGTTCAGATAACATATCATTTTGAGTTTCTGATGGTTAAATTAATCTAAGTTCACCAGTTCAATGAACTTAAAATTTTAAGGCAACCAGGTTACTTACTTTTTAAGTTAAACCATCAATATTTTTTTACAGTGTATATACACTTCTATATAGAACAACAAAAATATACTATTAGGGCACAAAACAAGCACAAACCGGTTAATATGTAAACCTATTTCACTGTAGAGATCAGACGAGATGAACTATTGCATCACTCAGATTAAGATCACATTATTGATCACCTATTCAGAGAAACGTTCGTCATCATTACTTCAAAACAAGTGAAAACAATTAAACTGTGCCAACAGTGCTATAATCTTAGGAATGCTTTCCTTTAAACCTTAAGCTTTGCATCAAAGCATCTGGTAACCCAATACAAAACTATAATTCCTTTAAAAAAAATGTGTTTGTTTTTTTAAATGTCTATGGTTTATATTATTTTTTATTTCAATTTGAGTTATTTTAGTAAATTGATTTAAAGTAAATGTCTATTTATGGTCTTAGTTTTATTATTAACTATAATAACAGAAACAGATGTTGTCAGTAACTCACCTGTTTGGCGTTTCCCACCCAGAACGTCAAATGGTGAAACTTTAAAAATTTCCCTCTCTCTGGCTACAACAGAAAAATATAATAAAATTCCATAAAATATTATAGAAATAGTTGATCACACTTTGGCTTATAGGGTCCAATTCTCACTGAACTGCCTCAGTAAACTCGTAATTCTCCTTATTAATAGTTAGTAAAGTCATTGTTAAATTTAAGTATTGCAGGATTAAGGGATGTACAGAATAAGACTGATGTGCTTTATTTTATACTATAATAAAACGGTTAGTTCCAATCATTGATTCTGATTGGTCAATAGCTGTGCTTTATTCATGATAAAACCATGGATAAAACATGGCAATGACCGCTTCACCCAACAGTTCTATGTATCACTGCGCAACTCTGCAGTATGTTGTGTTCATTAGAGCTTTAGAACGATGTTGCTGATCACGGTCAGGGACTATTTTTTTCTGGCGGAAGGAAGGCTTTTAGTGATTTTACTTCATGAAAGTTGCACTAATACATATTTTTTACGTTAATATTTTTTTATAAGGTACTCGAGGAGACTGCTGTGTCGTCTGAAGGGTTTACTCCGCTTCGCGTCGAGCCTAACAACGCCCTTCAGCCGTTACTCATTCACGATACAGCACTCTCCTCGAGTACCTTGCTTACATAAACAGCCAATATTCTAGTAATATGCACGATAATAAGCAGCTAATCGTGAGAATTGGACCCAAAACTAAAGTGTTACCGTTTTGTTCTAGTTTAAAGTTCATGTTACCTTCTCTCCTTTGTCAGTGTATGAAGTCTAGAGAGAGAACACACATCATTTAGCCTAATATTTATCAAACAATTATCTATACATTCATACGAACATTCTGAAATAGAAATAGAACGTCTTTTGACTTCATATTAAATAATAATAATAATAATAATAATAATAAAATTCAGAAAATGTACTTATAACAAGACAAAATGCATTTTAAAAGTTCCTCAGTCACATCAATAGTTTCAATTAGGCTACAGTAAAGCTTCGTTGCTTTAGATATTAGCTCAAATTTTTCTTCACTCAAAGAAACAAAAATAGTTATTTTTAAGATTTGTTCCCTGAAATGCTAATGTAACCAATAACACACATTTCTGCATCACAATTTTATGACCATGAATGAAAATATTGAATCTGATGTAAAGGCAGTGCAGGGACTCACCATGTTGAAGTTCTCGTGGGGTTGTGTGTCAGAAGAGGAGTCGCACACACACACACACACACACACACATGCTGTTTTATGTGCACAGGTCACTGGACCTCGGGTTCATCACCCTTTCAGTCTTATCCAGCCACAAGAGCGTCTGCACACACACCCTCTCAGGCAGACACACACCCTCTCAGGCCGACACACACTCCTCTGTCACTTGAAGGAAGAGAAGTATTTGATGCATTTTATCTGCTACAGTAACTCAAATGTATTGTGACACTTTTACTGTAATATCCAGAGTGATGTTCAACTTCTCTTTACCTTATTTAGCACTGAAAATAGCATTTTATATATCTATATAGCACTGAAAATAGCACTGTATATCTATATATACTGAAAATAGCACTTCATATATCATATATAGCACTGAAAATAGCACTTTTTATATCATATTGAAAGCACTGTATAGCCTATATCATATATAGCACTGAAAATAGCACTGTATCATATATTACACTGAAAATAGCACTGTATCATATTATATACAGTAGCACTGAAAATAGCACTTTATATATCATATATAGCACTGAAAATAGCACTGTATATATCATACATAACACTGAAAATAGCACTGTATATATCATATATAGCACTGAAAATAGCACTCTATATATAATATATAACACGGAAAATAGCACTGTATATATATAGCACTGAAAATAGCACTGTATATATATGGCACTGAAAATAGCACTTTATATACTGAAAATAACACTATATATATTATATGAAAATAGCACTTTACTATATATCATAGGCTATAAAGTGCTGAATTACCATATTCATATACAGTGGAGTTTGTCTCGGTACTTCATATAATACTGTTTTATTATGAATCATGATGCATGTCCAACTGCAGTGTCATGCAATGCCTTTGTGAGATAATAAGATAATTCCTCCCTTCTGATATATTTGTCCTTCACCATGTCCCTTTCAGGGCTCTGTGTGACACGGACAGGGCCTACACTCTTAAAAGAAATGGTTCTATTTAGAACCAGAAATGGTTCCATCCCCCGCTTCATATATGGAACTCTAAAATGGTACTATATAGAACCATTTTTTTGGTAAAAGGTTCTATTGGCCAAGTATGGAACCTCAGGGTTCTATATAGAACCCAGAGGAACCCTTTTTGAAGAGTGTATAGAACCTTTTAGGGGTTCCAAATATGTAGCGCTGATAGAACCTTTTAAGGTTCTATATAGAACCATTTCTTCTAAGAGTGTATGAGCTTAGTAAAAAAAGTGGGTTAGTAATATAGTAAAACTCCAGTATGATTTACATATTGAATAAATAGAAAATGATTCTGGGTTTGTCAAAGTACCTTCACTCGTACACTAGAGGGCGACATTGGACACCACATGGTTCCCTGCAACGAAGCTTCTAGAAATGCTAGGCATCTGACATTGACAAAAATTGCTCATTTTTCACATTGATTATTTACAGTATCGTCGCCGTTCTGATTCTGATCACAGAAGAGATTTACACTGATTCCCTTTCCAGTTGCATTTGGTCATTATAGCATTTGGTCAATTTATATTTGGTCAATAACTAAAGCAAAGGGCAGATTATCAAAATGAAGAAACCCTACACTTTCTCACTGTTTAGATATGGTGACCAAAAAGGAAGTGTAACCTAGAACAGGCCTAATGCCAAAAAAGAGAGAGGGAATAAGAAAGTGTTTTTTGACCTCGTATCTAAGGACACTGTAAGTCTAAACTGCCTTGACCCAGTAAAGCTTACATTTCATCATCACGACTCTTTGAAAGAAGAGGTGAGAGGTCATATGACTGATAACAACCCAGAAGTGTGGGCGGGGCTCTGCTGAGCCAATCACCAACCAGCATTCATTACTACATTAATGACACAAGTTATGATACACTTGAATGAAATTAGGTTTCTTACACTATAGATAGATACGTAGTACTTTTAAATTATTTATTTTGTTTGAATCATTTGTATATTTTAATGAAATCTGAGGAAGTCTGGGTTCGTGTTGACTTGTGTGTTTGATGTCAGACTGCCAATCTGCGATTAAATCCTGAAGCTAAACAGAAATAGCCTAGAGCTCTGACAGCACACACACATGGCAGCATTGGTAATGTTAGGTCAGGTAACACACACGATACGGCATCAACCAAAATCCAAGTCTTCAAGTTAATGAGACTGATAATCTTTGAGCTCTTGTCTTCAAATGTGTTTGCTCACAGTTAATGATCAGCTGAACTCTTCATGTGTTTAAAAAACAGCAGACTTATCAGCATCATATTATTTTCATTATTGCATTGTAAAGCCATTACGATTAGCATATATTATATCTAACTTTAGATTATATGGGGTTGTGAAATAATTGTGTGTGTTTGTATGTATATATATATATATATATGAAGAGTTCAGATGCAAAAGCCTCTAAATGCCATTTGAAATTTTCTTCTAGAATGATCATTTTTATCAAGCTTGTATATTTAAGTTCAGTGATTTCACTTAAATGGCAATGATAATTACCTATTAATTGTTATTTAAGTAAAATTACTGAACTTAAATGTACAAGTTTGATAAAAATCATCATTAAAGAAGAAAATTTCAAACGGCATTTAGAGGCTTTTGCATCTGAACTCTTCATATATATATATATATATATATATATATATATATACTGTATATATATATATATATATATATATAGGCTGTATTTATTATTTACTTATTTACTTGTATTTATCTCAAAATGAGTTTTAAGTAAGCTTCATTTAATTTTTTGAAATGCCACAAAAATAGTTTGAGATCAAACCCTTTTGAGAATCACTTGAATAGAATAGAATAAAATAAGAATAGAATAGAATAGAATAGAATAGATAGAATAGAATAGAATAGAATAGAATAGAATAGAATAGAATAGAATAGAACTGAATTTTTATTGTCACATGACTGAGATGATGGAAAGGAAACTGTTGCATAGCTACAACATGCATCCAAATATGAGACATGTGACAGTGTGTCAATGTCCAAATTGTGCAATCATGCATTATTGTGTGCCAAAATACAAGAATGAATTACTGTAATGCACAATCAAGAATAATATAAAATAAATGTACAAAACAGTGTACAAAGCATACATCTGCAGTCGTTTGTTTTGCATCTTCCACTGTTTGCATGCCTAATGTTCTCTAGCCTCAGTCCTGTGACATTAAAGATTATATTCTGCTTTTCTATTGCTGTGATGGTGTGACATAAACCTGTTAAGCTATTGAAACCTCTTGAGCAGATCTGTTAAATCCAGAGCCTCCGGGTGGACAAACTGAGCACTTCAGAGTCAGACTCAGAGCTGAAGAGTCTGTCTGCAGTGAATTAAGAAGAAATACACACATGTTGTCAGTGTTTTTAAGACATAGTGGGGTAATGTTATGTTTTGGGGGCATATATATTATTACAAGCCATGGCAACTCCACTGCAGTTTCATAATAAATACATAAATACATAATAAGATTCCCACTACAGATTTACACTATAGCCTATAATCCACGTGATGTCCGGCTATATTACACACATATGTACACATATGCATTACTTAAGACTTAAACATGTTCCATTTCTCAAAACATTGTGTTCAATTGCATCGTGAAATTAACATATGTTCATGTTTTCAACTTTTTTTTGTTTTAGACAATGCGCGCTCCGTCGCTTTAACAAGTCCTGCACGCACGCACTACACCACGTGGTCCCCTAGTGCCGCGCTGTGATTTTCTATTGGCTTATACTTCACCCCTCCCCCCGCCTCAGCCGCGCCCTGATTGGTTCGTGTGTGGGTGTGTTCTCAGCATTCAGGCGCCCTGTTGTTAGAGCCGCTAACCCACCGTAGCCCTCCATTGGCTGTTGTGTGTCTAGTACGCGTATTCCGCCACGCCATTGGCCAACTGTAAACCATAGTATGTCGTGATTGGTTGACGCATAGGCGATCGCAAGTGAATGCGGAAGTAGTGCGCTCTACTGAGTCACCGTTGTGTCAGCTGATTCTTTCACTGTGAGTATCTTGATCATATTTCATTTTCTGTGTGTTTAACTTGTTTCTTCTTGTATGTGTTCGCGGTTACGTTAGGCTGAATAGTGTATGAACTACACGCGCATGGTTTAGCGAGGTTTTTATGTGGGCTTTGCCAGCCATGTGTTTGTATGTGGATGCATTGGCCAGCTTGGATGTTTAACAGGCAGTAAAATCCTCCACCCTTACTAAACACACACTCACACACACTCACACACACAGACCAAAGGTCACCAGCTGGTGTGAACTGATGTGAACTTACATTTGAAGAGTTATGTTGATAAACTTTATTTCATTATTGAATATTTTATGAATGTACACACACTGTTCAAACTAATGCACAAGCGTTGTGTAATAAAGTGCTTTTGTCTTTTCTGTGTAAAAAAAGGAAACATTTGCATCACATTTTAATATTGGTATTGCAGAGCAAGTATGCATGATCAATTTACCTTAAAAATGTAAAATATTGTAACAGTACTACATTTATTCTTTTAAATCGTCTTGTAAAAAAGTGACTGTGGTAAACTTGCATGCATTTCGTTGTATAATATTGACATTTTATAGTTATACACTATCTTTCATTTAATTTAAGGTCTAACCTCAAGGTTTGTTACATCTGTATTAGGGATGCACCGATATGACAATTTTGGCCGATACCGATAATTCTTTATATTTGAAAGCCGATAACCGATATTTTGGCAGATAAATCCAAATTTTTAGACAATTTTTGATTTTCTTCATTAAAAGTCAAGATAAAAACACAATTATGATGTTCTTATTTTAATGTTGTGTAGCCGATATGTCAGACTTGCGCTGCGCATTTTGCACTTTAACTGGATTTTCCTTTTTTAAAGTGATTTCAAGCAATTTAAAAGCATTATGTTGAACGGTTCACATCTAAAGTGCCTCAGCTCAAGGATATAATACATTATTTATCGGCTTTTAGATATCGCCTAAATGTTCTTGTTGGGCCGATATCGATAACATTGAAAATGATCATATATCGGCCGATACCGAT